CGCCCCGGGAAGGGAGCTTAAATGCTCAAGCCAGGAACAGTGCCCCTGGGTCAAGACTACCAACAGTAGAAGAAATTTGAACTGTGTCCTCCAGGCTGCATAACCAAGGTGGTATACACATTAGCACAGGCCTAACGAGCGCGCTCCAGGCTGGGGCCGGAACCAGGCCAGGGGACCGGCGCCTGAACAAAGCAAAAAGGGTCAGAAGTGGGGCTGTGGCTCAAATGGTAGGGTGCCAGCCCTGAGCTGAAGAGCTGAGGGACAGCACCCAAACCTAGAGTTCAAGCCCACAACCAGCCCAAAACAAACAAAAACACATCAGGAGCCCATAGCAGACTCCAGTATTTGGGAGAGTGCATCCAGAGCATCTGATCTTCCCAAGAGCACCCACAGGAGCAAACACAAGCAGTCTAGGCTGCTCAACCCTTCCAAAGGCGGGAATTGCTACAGCAGAGAGCTAAGAATCCTAAGTGAATAGCAGCTGGAAATAGGCTCCCAACAGAATCCAGATCAGACACAGACTCTCTCTACCAATAGAGAATCAGCAACCAAGCAAAGACAGACACACCAAAACAAGATTGAAGAGCAGTCTCCTGAACCCCCATGCGAAAATCACAGAGAAAAATCACAAGGTTTACCACTACCCAGGACAGCAAGCTCACCTCAAAAGCCAGCAGCCACGCAGGGGAGAGCCCCAGTGGGAGCAAAGCAGGAATGGAAGACAAAAACTACATCCAAGGGTTGCTGGAGGCAATGACTCAAGAAATAAAGCGAGAAATGGATCAGAAATTGAAAGAGCACAAGGATGAACTATCAAAAGATATACAGGATATCAAACAAAAATTGGATGCAAAAATAGAAGCTGCACAAACCTCAGTAAGAAGTGAGATAAACGCCAAATTAGAGGTAATGCATACTGATATCACCTCATTGAGAGGTGAGATCAGTACTCTGAGAACCAACATTGAATCCATAAAGGGATCCATTTCCATCATGCAAACCACAATAGAAGCCACGGTCAACAGAGTGAATGAAATGGAAGGTAGAGTGTCAGATACAGAAGACAGAATACACCAACTGGACCAAAAAGTGACAGATATGGAAAAATCACTCAAATTAAACCAAAGGGAAATTCAAGAGCAAGCAGATAATGCTAAAAAATTTAACCTTCGCATAATCGGAGTGGACGAAGGTGAGGAATTCCAGAGCAAGGGAATGCAACACCTATTTAACAAGATAGTCAATGAAAATTTTCCCCACCTCAAAAACGACCATCTTAACTACATCACAAAAGCTTATCGAACACCCAACAAGCAAGATCCCAGGAGAAACACTTCTAGGCACATAATAGTAACAATGATGGATCTGAATAATAAGGAAACAATCCTGCATGCAGCAAAAATGAAGAAGGAGCTATACTACAACGGGAAAAAAATTAGAATCACTGCAGATCTCTCCACACAAACAATGAATGCAAGAAAAGCCTGGGAAAGCACCATACGAGCCCTGAGAGCCAATAACTGCCAACCCAGACTGATATACCCGGCAAAGCTAGCATTCACATTCGATGGAGAACTGAAAACTTTTAATAGCATAGATGAAATGTTGACTCTTTTCTAAAATCCAGAGGATTTGTTTATTAATGTTTTTTGGTTGTAAAAATACTGTACAGAGGGGTTACAATTACATGAGTAAGGTAATGAGCACATTTCCTGTGGAGCATTGTTACCTCCTCCTTTGTTTTTCTCCTACCATCCCTTCCCTCCCCACTTCCCCAATCCCCCCCCCCCCACCCCCCAAGTTGTAAACTTCATTTTCAGCATAGTATCTTGTACATCTCTTTGTTACAATAGGTCAATCTGTATCCTTATTTCAGCATTTGGTTATTACCCTTACCCTCCCCAAATTAGAAAAATGTATATAAAGATGCAGGGCACTGACATCAAATACAGTGAAAACAGGGGTTATACTGTAGGGGAAGAACATATAAGAGAAACAAAAAAAAATCACATAGTATATTTAAAATACATTAAACAATAGCAAGAAAGAAAAAAAAACCCACTTGTTGTGTTCCTATCTTGGGGTTCATTTCACTTAACATCATCTTATTACGGTCATATGTACATAGCTTTTGACCTTTTCTGCTTGTCCTAGACATATGTTATTGCAAATAAGGGAAACCATGGCACCTATGTTTCTTTGGCCTGGCTTACTTCACTTAATATAATTTTCTCGAACTCTTTCCATTTCCTAACAAATGGAGCAATCCTAGTACCCAGGAGGCTGAGATCTGAGGATTCCAGTTCAAAGTCAGCTCAAGCAGAAAGGTTTGAGACTATCTCCAGTTAACTAGCAAAAAGCCAAAAGTGAAAGTGTGGCTCAAGTGGTAAAGTGACAGCCTTGAGTGAAAAAGCTAAGAGAGAGAGTGCCCTGGCTGAGTTCAAGCCAGCGAACAAAATAAAACCAAATCTCATATAATTTTGATCATATGTAGATGTTAGACTTAAAAGACATACATATTCAGAGTTGTAGAGACCTACACAGAGATTATTATCCTAATCATGGGACTATGTAGAAAAATGAGGGAAGGAGAGAGAGAGAGAGAAGAAACAACATGAAGGATAAATAACTACAGTAAACTATTTATGAAGACAATGTAGGAAGGGAAAGAGAAGACAATAGAGGGTTATTCTCAACAAAATATTATACATGTCTGAAATGCCATAGTGAAATTCCTTAGTACATTAATACACTCTAAAACAACTTGTCTCAGGAAAGTAAAACAGGCTCATATTGAGGCAGTGGGCACCTACTTGCTTAGCAGAAATGGGGAGGCTAAGGAAGAGGGTGAATGAAGATGAAATGATTGATACAGACTACAGTACTGAAAACAGATATATGAAAACAGAACAATGAAATTGTTTTGAAAAATGAGAATGGGCCAGGAGCCAGTGGCTCACGCCTGTAATCGAGATGTGAGGATCAAAGCCAGCCCAGACAAGGAAAGTTCATGAGACTCTATCTCCAATTAACTACCAGCAAACTGGAAGTGGTTCAGTGGCCCAAGTGGTAGAGCTCACTTTGAGCTGAAGAGCTCAGCGACAGCGTCCAGGCCGAGTTGAAGCCCCACAACAACAATTAAAAAAGTGAAAATGGAGGAGAGTAGGATGAAATTGATTGAGATACATTGTACATAGTTGTGAAAATGTCACAAGGAAACCTCTCCTGTATAACTAATATATGCTAATTAAAATCCTCAAAAGATATTATGGAAGACTTGCCAATTCTATGAGATCTTGAAGATGATGGAAGGACACTTTTTTGGGGGGAAGGGGGGGGCTGTGGTCGTGGGGCCTGAACTCGGCCTGGGCGCTGTCCCTCAGCTCTTCAGCTCAAGGCTAGCACTCTACAACTTGAGCCACAGCGCCACTTCCGGCTTTTTTCTTTTTGCTTATGTGGTGCTGAGGAATCGAACACAGGGCCTCATTCATGCAAGGCAAGCGCTCTACCACTGAGCCACCTTCCCAGCCCTGGAAGGATACTTTTAAAGATCTGAAAGAAAAGCCAACCCATTTTTCTATAGCCAGCTAAAATATCTTTCAAAAGATAAGGCACATAAAAGACCTTCCCAAAGAAACAAAAGCTAACAGAACTCGTAGCTAATAGACCAGCATAAGTACACACAGTGAGAAATATGAATCAACATAAAAATATGAAAAATGTTGGAAATGGTAAAAAAAAAAAAAGATAAATTTACACACAAAACTGTTTTCTTATTTTTAATTGTTTTAGAAATACTTGGCTTGTTTTCAAAAATAATTGAATAGGCAAAAATATTCACAATATATGTAAAAACAAAATTTATGACAACACAAAGACAAAAAGAGAAGAAAAGAAAAGCATACTGTTATTCTTTTGTGTTTAGGTTATTTTAAGACAAACTCTCAATATTATAGTCCAAGATGGCATGGAACTCACTATGTAGCCAGGTTGACCTTAAACGCGTGATCTCTAGCCTCACCTTCCCAAGAATTAGTGGTGTGTGCCATCACACCTAGTTCTTTTTATATGTGACATGTTTATTGTGCAATGTGAAGATAGATTGTGATAAGGGATAACAAGAGGAGAGGCAAATCAATGAACTAATAGCTAAGTTTTTCCTAATTAAAATTAAAGATATGAATTCTCATTCTATAAAACTACAGGTCTACTTACTAGTACTAAATTTACATTTAGGAAAATGATACTTAAGTTACAGAGATAAAGAAGAAATTCAAAAAGAGAAGCAATTTACACAAGGTTAGAGTCTGGACTAAAATCCACATCCTCTGATCTATATTCAACATCTTTTCTAAAACGCCACTCAGTTTTCAAAAGGGGGAAACCAAGTCTAGGAGAAGTACCCAAAATCTTGAGGCCAAGTATTTATTAAGTAGCTACAACATGCCCATTACCAAGGACATAGATATCCTTCCTTTTGTAGTTTACAGATAGCAGATGCTACTTCCAAAGCATGGCCAGCACAAAAGGACTATGTGAACTCTGTATGACACAATATATCCCTGCATTTCCTCTTACCCCCTCTCTGTCTTTTTTAATTCATACCTACTGGTTTCTCATATCAACTAAGCTTCCACATTCTCCCTTATGATCCAATTCCTAATATATACTTTGACAGCAAAATGTAACTCTCCCTTGTAGCATTTAAAATAACCACAATTTTAGACTTCTTTCAACAATTTGATTAGTATCTGACTTCTCACAAGACTGTAAATTCCATGCGGATCAAGAACTATATCTGGGTTTGCTCACATTTTAATACCTCAGCACATACTGAATATGCAATAATATATACTAAAAGAGTCATAGAAAGAATGCTTAAATACAAACCATAATAGTAGTATTAGGCTTTGCAAGAAGCTCCATTTGCTTACTAAAAGAAAACTTAAGACTTTAGAATGATATTAGTTCCCAAAATAATAAATCTGAAAATAGCTTACCTAGATACAAATTCACTTAATTCTGAATAGTCTGTAGGCTCCATTATTATGTTGAGGTCAGTAATTATAGAAGATGAATTCTCCTTAGTCTAAAGAAAAAAAAATTATGGATCAGAATGCAATAACAAAATAAAATAAAGGCAAAAACTTTGTAAAAGTGCAAACTAAATGCTTTCCAGTAAGAAAGGAAAAATCAAAAAAAGATAATGCATTATTTATAAGAATGAAATGAGACCCTAATCCATACTAAAAATCAAAATAAGGGCTGTGAGGTGGCTCAGTGGTAGAGTGCTTGCCTTGCATGCATGAGGCCTTGGGTTCCATTCCTCAGCACCACATAAGCAGAAAAAGCCAGAAGTGGTGCTGTGGCTCAACTGGTAGAGTGTTAGCCTTGAGCTGAAGAGCTGAGGGACAGTAGACAGGCCCCAGAGTTCAGGCCCCATAACTGACACATACAAAAATAAATCAAAATAATTTCAAATGACTTGAATATTAAAATCATAAATACTAGGAGGAAGAATAAACATGTAACTCATTACTGAGCCACGAAAAAATTTTCCCACTGTTGGTGAGAAAGTAAACTAGTGCAATAACTATGACAAGACACAAGACAATATGTTGGAAATGAACTTTATAACTTGGTGGGGGTGAGGGTAGGGGGAAACACTGAGAGGGGAGGGAAAGTAGGAGAAAAATGAGGGAGGGGAAACAATGTTCAACAAGAAATGTACCCATTACCTTACTATGTAACTGCAACCACTCTGTACATCACCTTAACAATAAAATTAAATTAAAAAAAAATCAGTAATTAAAAATACATCTTTCCTATGACCCTGCCATACTATTATAGGCAAATATCTGAAGAAGAGTAAATCAATATACCAGAAAGACACTCTATGGCCATGTTTATTGCAACGTTGTTCACAATAGCCAAAGAGTAAAATTAGCCAAAATGCCTAACAGATGAAGGGATAAAGTTGTAGGAGATACACACACACACACACACACACACACACATGCACACACATGCGCACACACACAATGCAATATTACATAGCCATAAAGAAAAATGAAATCATGTCATTTGTAGGAAGAGATGGAATTGAAAGACATATTGAGCATGATAGTAGGATAGCTCAAGCCCAAAAAGAACAGATACATGTTTTCATCCATATCTAAAAGCAAGACCTAAAAAACATATTTATTCAGGAATATATTTGCATATATAATTGTTAAATTTGAAAAACATAGAACATGAGCCTAAGGTACTACTTAGAAGAAGAAGGGAAGAAGAGAGTGAATAATTTGGAAATATGCTTGAACTATATTGAAAGCAGCATAAAGAACTGGCATTACTGACATGAACTACTATACCCAGTCTGTCTTATTAATTTCCTTGCTTTTTATGGCATTTGTTTTTGTGCTGTTACTGGGGCTAGAATGCAAGACCTTGTGCTTTTGCTCAGCTATTTTGCACAGCTGGCACTCTCCCACTTAGGCCACACCTCCAGTTCATGGCATTCTATCAGAATTTTAGATTTTTGGTTACTTTGTCTAATATGATGATAAAAGAACTCTGTACCATCTTTTTGTTAACATCTATGGCTCCTATTTGTTGTTATGAATGGGAATAACTCTAGAAATTTTTGCCAGCTCCTAAGACTAGAGTTCTTTTCTACAACTTAAGAATTGCACAGGAATGGAGGTAAACATATCCAGTCATGGTATTCAATATACACTATGTAAAAAAAATGAACTACAAAACTTGTGGGCAGGAACAGGAGGGGGAAAATGGGAGAAAGCAAATAATTTTCTGATTCCCTTTCCCATTTAGACACTGACCTGTGTCCTCATATTCTAAGTGGATGGAAGAATGAGTATAGATAATTTATCATCTCTGTTGAGCTTTTTCACCCACTTTAGGGAACAGTGAGAGAAGTTAGTGGAAGTCAAGTAGGCTGTCTATGGGCATCTATCACCCTATCTAATCAAAACAATTCCAGAGGCATTCTTGGAACTCAATGAAATAGACAACTCAAGTAAAAATGGATGGTAGACTTATATAAATCTAAGGGTGATGTATCATCCTTATAATAAAAAAATTAAATGAAATAAAATTTTTAAGAATGGATGATAACCATCATGTATCCAAAGACAATACATAAATAGACAGTAAGTAAAGGAAAAGATGATTCATATCATTAGTCATCATTCAATAGTTCCATTTGATCTATTAATTCTATTATTGTACAGCCAAGACAAATACAGTCAAATATTCACTTAAAAACTTGTCAACTGGTAGCTGGGTGCTGGTGGCTCAGGCCTGTAATCCTAGCTACTCAGGTGGCTGAGATCTGAGGAACATGGTTTGAAGCCAGCTAAGGCAGGAAAGTCCATGAGACTCTTGTCCCTAATTAATCAGAGAAAATGCCAGAAGTGGTGCAATAGCTCTACTGGTAGAGTACTAGCCTTGCACAAAAAGAGCTTAGGGACAGCACCCAGGCCCAGAATTCAAGGCCTAGGACTAGCAAAAACCAACAAAAAAAAAAACCTTGTGAAGTGGTGTCTCATGCCTATAGTCACAGCTATTCAGGAGGCACAGGTAGCAGGGACTGCAGACTAAGGCTGGCCAAGGCAAATGTAAGACCCTACCTGAAAAACTACAAACAAAAAGGGATGAGGCATGCCTCAAGTAGAATAATTGCCTAGAAAGCCTAAGGACTTGAGTTCAAACCCTAGTATTAAAAAAAGCTTGTACATGAGTTATGTTCATAGCAGCATTATTCTAATAGCCAAAAAGTGAAAACCACCATTATTTTCATTAACTGACAAACTGGATAAATAAACTACACAATAGTATTATTCAACTAAAACAAGTGCTGACATATCATACAACATGGAAACACAGACTTTAAAAACATGTTAAATGGAAAAAAAACTAGACACAAGAGAACATACTTTATGATTCCATGTATAAAATGTCCAAAAGAAGACAAATGCATAGAAAATAATATACTAGTTGCTCAAGGTTGTATGAAAAAAAGAGGAATATGAGGTTTGTAAGCTGAAGAAAAAGCTCTTGAATTTGTTAGAGTAGTGGTTACACTACTCTTAGATATGCTAAAAGTTATTGAATTTAAATGAACTTATCTTAACAGAGTTGTTACCAAGGAAGGAAATGAAAGAAGAAAACAAAATTCTCAGAAGCAAATCATACCTGTAGTTCAAGTATGTGGGGGTATATGTTAGATTTTGGCTTTTCACCCATTAAGATAGGCAGGTCACCCTACCAATCCTCAAGACTGAGATTTCACTGCTTACCACGTTTTGGTAAGTTGTGGACTATGTTGAGTCCCTGAAATGTAGACTGCAAAATAATTGACTTTCCATCCTCTCCTGTGGTCCTGATAACTAGGTCACTGCTTCCCAGTGGGCACACAAGGTACAATATCTTATTAAAATACTCTGAACCCAGAGCCCCTGCATTAATCTCAGTATCTCATCTTTTTCTACCAGGGTTTAAAGCCTAGACTTCCCACTCTTCTCTACAACTTAAGAATTGCACAGGAATGGAGAGAGGAAGGGTAAACAAATACAGTCATGATATTCAATATACACTATGTAAAAAATGAACTATGCAACCTGTGAGCAGGAACTGGATGGGGAAAATGGGAGAAAGCGAATAATATACACTTCATACAGTGAAAAAAAGCTTTAATCACAAAATGTCAGTTTCTAAAACGTTGTAAGAAAAGGCCCTGTTAACAAAATTTATATATGTCTCATGAAGACCCTCTATTAGGATTTCAGTGTTTTAATTCAAATGTTACAAACAGCAAATTATCTTTAGAACCTATAAAAATTGAGAATGAATTCTTTACATTTAAAAATTTCCTACTTTAACATATGTGGAGATAAAACTTTGGGGCTGTGTGCAGTGGCTCATGCCTATAAGTCTAGCTATTCAGGAGGCAGAGGTAGGAGGAACAAAGTCCAAGGCTGACCTAGACAAAAATATAAGAATCTAACAAACAAAGCAAAAAGGCTGGAGGCATGATTCAAGTGATACAGTGCCTGTCTAGCAAGTTTGAGGACCTGAGCTAAAACTTCATTTTGGCACAAAAAAGGAAAAAAGTTCCTATTTTTTAAATCATTTGTTCATTTCATTGTGTTTCAAGCAGACCAGATATACATAATCTGCCAGTTTTCCTGCAAACTTGCACTTATTTGATTATGCTGCATGTACTATGGAAAGTTAATACAGTAGGTATTAATTCTCCTCACAATTATTATAGTGCTGCCAACACTAGGCTACAAATTTGAGGTAAAGTTATGTTCAACCACCTTTGAAAACAACAGCTGCACTGATTTTCCTATAAGAGGGTTGGCCTAGATAATATATAAAGTAACTTGTGTTCTAACATGATTTTATGTCACTTTTGGTTCAATTTCATAAAATTAAATATATAAAACTTTGTAAAGTTACTTTTACTTTCAATTTTCTGATAGCTAAACATCTCCTTCTAGTGGACAGTTTGATTTTAGAAAATGAGATCACAGGGCCAGAGGTGTGGCTCAAGTCTAACTATAACGCCAGTCCAGAGCAAGCAAGCCAGCCTAGGGAAAACTTGAGACCCTAAATTCAAGCCCCAGTACTGCCAAGAAAATACAACAAAAACCCAGAAGGGTTCTGTCTTCACTTTTTTTTAAAATCAATCTCACAGCAAAAGTGTGCTCAGTATGTAAAAATGGTAAAAACATCTTAGAAGGTACATTTGCAACCAACTGAAATTCCTGATTTCACTGCTGTCTGCCACTGCTTCCCAAATCTTACTAGTTGTTTGTTCAAGAATCATAAAATTAGACCAGTGCAGGTAGTGCATGCCTATAAGCTATTTAGGAGGCTGAGGTGTGGATCAAGTGGTAGAGTGATAGCTGTGAGCAATAAAAGCTAAACAAGAACACCAGGCCTTGAGTTCATGCACCAGTACCAGTCCCCCTCCCCCCCAAAAAATCTTAAAATTAAAAATGCTCCAAGAGGGGGCTCAGTGGTAGAGTGCTTGCCTTGCATGCATGAGGCCCTGGGTTTGATTCCTCAGCACCACATAAGCAGAAGTGGGGCTGTGGCTCAAGTGGTAGAGCGCTAGCCTCGAGCTGAATTGCTGAGGGACAGTACCCAGGTCCAGAGTTCAGGACCCAAAACCGACCAAAAAAAAAAGCTCCAAGAGAAAATGAATTCTCTTAACACAGTCAGGGAGAGGAAGAGCATACTTCTGCATCACTTTGTTAGCAAAACCAACCAGTCTCCAGTCTTCAAACACCTGTGTACCTTTTTTCTTTTTTCAATACTGGGGTTTGCAATCAGGGCCTTATACTTGTTAGGCAAGGAGCCCTCTAACACTTGAGCCATGTCCCAGCCCATTTTTGCTTTAGTTATTTTCAGGTATTTTGCTAGGGGTTGCCTCAGATCATGATTCTCCTACTCATATAGCTGGGATCACAGGTATGAAACTTATTGATTTGAGATGGGATCTTACTTTTTCACCCAGGCAGTCTAGAACCATGACCCATCTGACCTCAATGACCATATCCTGAGTAGCTGAGATTACAGGCATGAGCTACCCAATGGAACTACATACTTTTAAATGACAACTCACATCCCTTTATAGAGTTTCTGCAATTATCATGTCCTGTCTTTCAAATAGTTCCTCTCAAACTTTTTTCCTCACAACTCCTAAAGTATATTGGACAAAAACTCCTAGTTGCTTCAATGTTTATTTTCATTGTTACCCCATCTATTCACTGGCTTAAGGCACCAGAAGTACCCAACTTTCCACATCTCCAAGCATTCAACCATTCTCTAGCCATAAAAAATCATCCTAAAAGTGCAATGCCACTAACAGCCTATTCAACACAGAACAGTCTCTTTTCAGTTGGATTTTAGACAAGTTTTCTGAGGATAAGACTAATTTTCCCCATAGCCTTACCTCTCCCAGGTAATCCATAAAGTAATTGTTGAAAATATGAACACCTGCAGCAGAGAAGGCCCGAAAACCCTAAGATGTACTAAAATGCCTCTCATAGTTTCTGGACAATATCTATAGTATAGCAGTTCTCAGAGAAGGAGCTGGACCTCAGTCTTATGACCACCAACCTCCCACAAGCTGCAGGCAGAATCCATTAATGTGTGCCAGTATGCAGAAGTGGAATGCTACCTCTCTGAGGTCAGGATCACCACAGATATAAAGAAAGAAAATACACTTGGTCCAATTACACAAACATCTACAATGGGAAAACCTAGAGTCCCCATGCCATCTAAATGAAGAATCCTGGTACCTGTCCCTTAGTGCACAAAGACAGCATTTCCACAGGACCTGCTGTGACTACTCTTTTATCTGATGAGCTAAACCAAAACAGTTTCTTGTGTCTTTATTCTTGTCCATGGGCTGAGGGGTGGCTCAATGTGGCAGAACACCTGCTTAGCAAGAGCAAGACCCTGAGTTTAAACCCCAGTAACAAAACACATACACATATACAGACACACACAATATTAAACATGCTAGGAACTTGTGGTTCATTCTGATAATCCCAGCTACTCAGAAGACCTGAGAATTGTGTTTTGAAGCCAGGTTAGGCATCTTATGAGACCCTTTATCTCTATCTAATCACCAAAATGCTGAAGTAGAGCTGTGGCTCAAGTGGTAGACTGACAGCTTTGAGCAAAAAAGCTAAGGAAAAGTGTCCAGGCCCCGAATTAAAGACCTAGTATGAACACATCCACAAAAGAAATTTAAGGCTGGTTGCCAGAGGGTCATGCTTGGAATCCTAGCTACTTAGGAAGCTGATCATGGTTTGAAGCCAGCCTGGGCAAGAAAATCTATGATTGATTGATTGATTGATTTTGTCAGTTGTAGGGCTCTTTTGGCCTGGGTGCTGTCCCTGCGCTCTTCAGCTCAAGGCAAGCACTCTACCACTTGAGCTACAGCGCCACTTCCGGTCTTCTAGTGGTATATTGGAGATAAGAGTCTCACAGACATTCTTGCTCCAGTTGGCTTTGAACCGCAATCCTCAGATCTCAGCCTCCTGAGTAGCTAGGATTATAGGCGTGAGCCACCGGCAACTGGCAAACCTGTGATTCTTAACTCCAGTTAACTACCAGAAAAAGCTGAAAGTGGAGCTGTAGCTCAAGTGGTAAAGTTCTAGCTTTGAGCATAAGAACAGTGCCCAGGCTCTGAAGTATATACCCAGCCTTGGTCATCTCTATAATTATGTCTGGATCCTATCTTTTTAGAAACAGCCTTTGAAGGTGCCTGAGCCTATTCTGCATATCCTTAACCAGTAAAGCTATAAACTATCATTCTGTCTTTTTTTTTTTGGTCTGCTCGTGGGGTCTGAACTCTGGGCCTGGGCACTGTCCCTCGGCTCTTCAGCTCAAGGCAAGCGCTCTACCACTGAGCCCCTAAAGAGCGCTTGCCTTGCATGCCTGAGGCCCTGGGTTCGATTCCTCAGCACCACATAAACAAAAAGAAAAAAGCCGGAAGTGGCGCTGTGGCTCAAGTGGTAGAGTGCTAGCCTTGAGCTGAAGAGCCGAGGGACAGCGCCCAGGCCCAGAGTTCAGGCCCCAGGACCGGACCCAAAAAAAAAAAAAAAAAAAAGTCTTAACTAAAGGTGCCTCCTTTCCTATGTTGTGTCTTAGCAGTCCAATATAATATGCAAGATCATCTAGCACCAAGCAACCATCATATGGCTGTAGTTCTAGATTACCACAGCCTAATGAGAGGTCCTGAGCAAGGACACTTGTTTCCATAGATTAAATGCTGAGGAAATTTGTTACATATCAATAGGAATTAATAGATGAGAGGCCCATTTGCTAATTATTGGTGACATCCAGGACTGCTCTATCAATGGGCTCAGCAGCAATAGTACCAAGTGCTGGAGTACCAAGTGATGGAGTATTAATACCTAAGTCTTGAATAAGCTGAGCACTGGTAGCTTAAGCCTGGAATCCTAGCTACTCAGGAGGCTGAGATCTGAGCATCTAGGTTCAAAGACAGCCAGGGCAGGGAAGGTCCTTGAGACTCTCCAAGAAAGAACCAAAAAGCCAGAAGTGGTTTGAGTATTAAAACAAAAAAACTAAGGGACAATGCCCAAGCCAAGTTCAAGCCAGTACTAAAAACAAAAATATAACAAAACATCTTGAATGATACTACTGTGTCATAAGGAAATGTGACTTGGGAAATCAACTCAGTCACTGCTAGAGGCTGTAGTATGGGACTGTTTATGTCACAGAAAATCTTCCTTACAAAAGATACTGCTTAATTTACCTCAATTTCCAGAATCTGAAATTCAAGTTGAAAAGTAACCATGCAGCAATTTCCTGATAATCTGTGTCTCTGCATAACCTTCTTTATACCTGTAAATTAGAACAATTATTTTATATGCAAAAACACTTTCTTTTCAAGTACCTATTATATTTGCATGAATATCTACAATACATGTAAGTAGATGAGTAACAGTATATTTTAGTAAATTTCATTTTTAAAAAATCTAGAAAAATGTGCATCCAACTGATTAGCCAGATGTAGCACTGTGGCTCAAGTGACAGAGCACTAGTCTTCAGCAAAAGCAGCTCAGGGACAGAGGCCAGACCTAGAGTTTAAGCCCCAGTACTAGCAAAAACAAAACAAAGCAAATGAAACACTTTCAGATTTAAAGTAACACTTACCTTTTTCTATCATCTCAGCACTTGTTAGATCCTTTGTCTTCTTGGAGTAATTTCCTACATTGAAGCCAGTAAGCGAACTTAGAAATGAAAGTTCTCCTTTTAAATGTTCAAGCTGACTTTTCAGGTCTTTGGAAGATTCCTGTTCCTCAGAATCTGATTGGAGTAATTCGTGAAATGATTTTCTACAAAGCAAATACCAGAAAGTTAATCCAACTATTAAAAAGTATTTCCTGGACTGGGAAAGTGGCTCAGTGGTAGAGTGCTTGCCTTGCATGCATGGGGCCCTGGGTTCGATTCCTCAGTACCATAAAAGCAGAAAAAGCCGGAAGTGGTGCTGTGGCTCAAGTGGTAGAGTGCTAGCCTTAAGCTGAAGAGCTGAGGGCCAGCACCCAGAGTTCAGGCCCCATGACTGGCCAAAAAAAAATCATCTACAATCATGAACACACACACACACAGGCCAAAAAAAAATCATCTACAATCATGAACACACACACACACACACACACACACACACACACACACACACACACACACACACACACACACACACACACACACACACACACACACACACACACACACACACACACACACACACACACACACACACACACACACACACCCCCCCCCCCCCCCCCCCAGGTTATATGGCAAAGAAACTTACCTCAAAAAAATCTATAGTATGTGACATGAATTTAAAAAGCTGGCCATCAGTGCCTCATGTCTATAATCCTAGCTATTCAAGATGCTGAGATAAGAGAACTGAAGTTTGAAGCCAGGCCAGACAAAAAAGTCCTAGAGACTTTTTTTTTCAGCAAAAAGCCAGAGTAGAGGCAAGGCTCAAATGGCAAAGCACCAGCTATAAGCAAAGGCCAGCAAAACTGTGAGGCAATAAGTTCAAGCTCTGGTACTACCAAAAAAATAAGAAGTCAACTATTTACTAATAAGTGTTAAAAGACAAGTACTGTTCTAGATGATTATGCACACACACACACATGTGTATTAACTCAATCCTCACAATAGCTTGTAAAATTTTTACCAAGTATAATGTTATAATTTTACCAAGGAGGAATCTGAAGTACAGGAGGAAATCACTCAATCAAGATTACCCACAATCCTGCCATAAGAGCCAGGATTGTAAGGCAAGCAGACAATTTGGCTCTACCTTTTAGATACATGGATATAGTAGAATCATTTGTGTACAATTTCCCTATCTCTACTCCGCTTAAAAATCACTTAAATGGTTTGAGGCCAGTGTAGGCAGGAAAGTCTGTGAAACCAGCAAAAAATTGGATATAGAGGTGTAGAATACCAGCCTTGAACAAAAATGCAAATTGAGAGCTAGAAGCCATGAATTCAAGCCCTAGTACCAACATACACAGTCAATATATCCATCACAGTGAAGAAAAACTTAACATAAAACCCTAGATACGGGGCTGGGAAGGTGGCTCAGTGGTAAAGCGCTTGCCTTGCATGCCTGAGGCCCTGGGTTCCATTCCTCAGCACCACATAAGCAAAAAGAAAAAAGCCGGAAGTGGCGCTGTGGCTCAAGTGGTAGAGCCTTAGCCTTGAGCTGAGGGACAGCGCCCAGGCCTAGAGTTCAGGCCCCACGACCGGACCCAAAAAAAAAAAACCCTAGATACAAAACATCCTAAATTGGTATTTTTTATGTGTTTTTTGTTCTGGACAAAGTCTTGCTATATAAAGCTGTATAACTTATCCTATTAGGAAGCTGAGGCAGGAAGACGGTAACAATTGTGCTGTAATATGCCAGAATGACATTTCATGTCTTTACAATCTAGACTCTTCTTAATTTCCCAACTCCGTTCTTGTTGGAAATGTCTCTGAATGTTGGGGTGTCATATGAAAATAAGCACACAACTCAACAGTAATGGCAAGAGTTTACTTCTACAGAGGGCATGCTACTAACAGGAGTCCAAATAAACAAGTGTGCAGGGCAGACAATCCACCTAGGTCTTTTTTTCCTAAGGAATGACTGCTTTTGATCTAATTGGTCAGAACTTTGGGCTATATTCTTCCATGACTGGCTTACGTTTATCCAAGCAATCAACCAAAGCCAGGACACCTGGCCAAAACTTGTCAGGAAAAACAATTGTTACACAGCTGGCACTCTACCACTTAAGCCATGCCTCCAGCTCCTAGATAATTCTTATAACAAGATATGGCTTAACTAAAGCAGCTTCTTGTAAAATAGTAGTGATCTGTTTCTATAAAGCAACTACTAACAGAAAAACATTCTAACTCTAACACTCACTGAGGAGTTTCAGATTACATAAATAACCCATTATATTATCCTGGACTAATAATGACATCTTGTGGTCAGTAAAGAAACTGTTTTTCCCCAAAGAATAACACCATGTTACTCAAACTTCAAGTACCCTTATAAGGGCTGGCGGGCATGGCTTAAGTGTTAGAAAGTTTTCCTAGCAGGCTCAAGATCCTGTACCACAATCTATGCCACAAAAATAAACCCCCCCCCCAAATAAAATTTCCAATGCACAATAATTATATAATAAAAATGTGCACATAAATATGCAGGGTGGAAGATAGGTGTCCATAAAAATACATACTCTGAATCAGTAGATGGGGATAGGACCAAAATCTGGAGGTCTCACTAATTCCCAAGATATCACACCTGGAGTAGCAAGTCCACTATATTTACTCTGATTTTTGGAGGAGCACCTGTCTGAGGTCTGTTTCTTTCTGCCTTTTTACCAGTTATGACTTTTTCTCTACTTTGATTTTCTTTAACCCCTCTCCTCCTTGACATCTCTAGCATTTTTGTTCATTTAGCTTAGGGGGAAAAAAAGATAAACTGTTTTGTGTCGTTTGTCCTGATTAGACAATAGAAATGGTTTCCAAATTTGAGAAGATACAAAGTTCTTCCCTTTACTCGCACAAACCAAGAATGTCTGGACAATGGATTTCCCGAGGACCTTGACAACTTCTCCGATTCTCAACATTCTTTCGCTTTAAAAGAGAATTTTATCATAGCAGGCTGTCAGAGTCTCCTATCAACTACATAGTCTACACAGTGACAGAATTCAAAGTACTTGATATCAACTTGCTTTTTTATGTTTTTTAAAATCTGTCTAGGTGCTCTTTTCTCCTCCATGTCAGGACTGAATTCAGGGCTTTGCCCATGGTTAGCAAACACTCAACCACTGAGCTACATTCCCAGTCCCTTGCGTTATTAACGTAAACGAAAAGTCAGTGTCATTTAATGTGGCTCGTTGATCCTTCCCCTGCAACCTTCCTCCCCCTCTCCCCCCAAAAAAGACAAGAAACAAAGCCGAATAAATCCCAATTAGATGCCGCTTCGTGGGGCAGGCCAGATTATCCAGTCAGGAAAGAGACATCTTTTTCCTAGACAGTCATCAACAAAAGAAAGCCTTTGGGAAAAGGACTGCAGTCCCCGACGTGAATCCCGAATTCAAGAATAAACCGGTTATGACACTGGAAGATGCTGGTAGCGGTGCCCTAAATGCGGCGCTCGACTGTACAGTACCAATATTGGTTCAAGTCTACAGTGTGGCCCGTTCCAGGCTACAGTTTCAGCACCGGGTCTGCGGCGAGCTGGAACCGGGAGCAATCAGGACATTCACCCGCCTCGCCCGCCCACAGACACTATCTCCAGTGGGCCTGGGGGCGAACACGGGAGCCACATACCGGTTGCGGGACATGTTTTCCAAGGGTGCCGGCAGCTTCGCGCAGGTCCGCTGCAGCTCTGCGATCTCCGCCTCCAAGGCGCGAACCTCAGCCCACCCAGCTTCCATCGCACTCCTCAGACCGGCGCGCGCTGCCGCGAGTGACAACCCGAGCGCGGGGCTTCAAGTCGCGCGCGCTCCTGGCGCTAACCATTCCCGAAAGTCGAGGGGGGAAGGCGACCAAGCGACGCGCGTTCACTCCTCCGCCCAAACAATATTACAGGTCTTTGATGCCCACCCTACGTGGTGAGAGTTACCTCTTAATAGTCCTGACCCTTTTGAAAATTGGTTCGTTCCGATTCAAAGCCCAAACTTTCAGCTGCCCCCCCCCCCCGCCCGTGGCTTTTGGAACTACCCAAACTCCTCCTACGTCACTGCAGAGGCGGCTCCGGAACACCAGAAGACAGGAGTCTCTTTATTTTTCTTCCTCCCGGTCACTTCCGCCTACCCAGTCCAGAAGTCAACGAACACGCGGCGCTCAGGCTCTTCACTGGAAAGTAGACCAGTTTGCCTTAGGCTCTTTTTCAGGCTCTGAAGCGAATTTATTGGAGAAGGAGAGGGTAGTCTGGACCACGAGAAAGGAAATAAAAGGCCTCTCCGGAACTGAGTGTGGAAACGGAACCCTTGGAGGCTGGATTGGAAGTCGTGTAGGAAGGAAGCGCAAGCACTCAGGCTTAGCCTCTGCGCCTGGCGGACTTTAGGTGAGGCGTGGGTTTCGGGGGGAGCAAGGTTGGGACTGTAGGACGTCGTCTCTCTTCTCTCTGGATCTTCTCAGAGCAAGAAAGATGGGGTGGGCAGGGTGCCATGTGACGTGCTGTTTTGTGATCTCCCTTTGGAGCAGTCTGTCTGCTGTTGGGTAAGGGGTAAGTGGGAACTGAGTGCCTGCAGTACTAAACGAGAGAGGTAGCATGGTTGTACAACTAAAATGCTTCTGGAAAACACTTCCATCATACATACATATACATGTATTTAGTGTATGCTACATAACATATAGTATTAACCGTTCTGTGTTCTGAATTTAGAACTGGATTGTGATCCTGATTTCACCTCCAACTTTGTTTATGGCATTGAGGGCCCCAGGACCTGCCAGGAAAAAGAAAAACAAAACAAAACAAAACACCTTCTGCCAGGCACTTGTGGCTCACCCATGTAATCCTAGCTACTCAGGAGGCTGAGCTCTGAGGATTGCAGTTCAAAGCTAGCCCGGACAGTAAAATCCATGAGACTCCAGAAAACTTGAAGTGACACTGTGGCTCAAAATGGTAGAGCCTTAGCCTTGAACAAAAAGAGCTCAGGAACAGCACCCAGGCCCTGAGTCCAAGCCCCATGACCAACAAAAAAGAGAACAAGGAAAAATATTTAATAATGTGAATAAGACAATAAAAAGTACTAGCATATCCTAATTGTGGTCATTTAAGTAAAAAACCACCTTCCATACCTGTGTATGTGTAAATGTGGTACCAAAATGTATTTACAGAGAATGCAAATGTAGAGCTTGAGAACAATCTCCAGGGATAAGTTTGGAAGCAATACAATAGGAAGTGAAATACAGTTTTAGATGAACAACCTGGCACAGAAAGTTCAAGGGAAGTAACTGTGTTTCATATGTAATTATGAAAAAGAATTCCTTTATACACAGAACATTTCTGTTTCCACTAGAACATACTGGCCTCATGAAAGCCAACAGAGAAACAAAGCGCCTTCATGTGGGTGGTCTTAGCCAGGCCATTACAGAGACAGACCTACAGAATCAATTTAGCAGATTTGGAGAAGTTTCTGATGTGGAAATCATCGCACGGAAAGATGAACAAGGTAAGTTTATGTTTCACTGAGTGGTTAAAGGAAGAGCAATTACTACAAAATAAAGCAACTTCAGAGGTGAATATAAGCTCTAAATGCTGTGATAGGAAATATTACGTATATTGTAGAACTTAACTACAATTAGCTTCCAAAATCAGAAACATTCTATGACTTGATTTGTTATCTCCTAACTTTTCAGAGTTAAAATTCTAGCATTAAAAGTGTCCTGTTAAGTAGAATATCACTAACATATAATCGAGATATTTTCTTTAACTGACTTTTGGTTTTTGGTTTTTTGTTTTTTTTTTTGCGTACCCAGTTTCTTTCAATAGTTTCATATACTTTGAAAAATGCTGTTTGTATCCATTGAAAAATAAATTTTTCTTATTGAATAAATTTCCAGCAGTTCATCAACTTACGTTGTTCCCTGGATATAAGTTTAAATAAATTTGTTTTTACTTTTTAGGAAACTCACAGAAAGTCTTTGCATATGTTAACATCAGCATAGCAGAAGCAGAGCTGAAAAAATGTAAGATTATCATATATTTTTATACTCTTTGTCAGTTGGTATCATTGTGAGACTTGGAATAACTTTAGTTCTAAAACTCAGCTTCAACAGCAATAAAACATATAGATGGACAACCATGAATAAGAGAATGTTGATAACTTACATCTCAGAATGTTTCAGTTAATTTCATTAGTGTCAGAAGATCTATGGCACCACATGTTGGTGGGTTTACTCAAAAACTGCTCTATTTTCAACCAGGCTCATATCTAAAATCCTAGCTATTCTGGATGCTGAGATCTGGAAGATTGTGGTTTGAAGCCAAGTCATCAGAAAAATCTGTAAGACTCCATTTCCAAAATAACCAGAAAAGGTCAAGGTAGATGTGTGGCTCAAATGATAGAGAGCCATCTGAACAAGCAGAAAAGAATTGCATATTCTCACATCATTTGGACAAAAGACCAAACTTACATAGAAACTACTGGTACACATATCCCACTGGATATAATGCTATATCTTCAATCTTCACTTTTCTTGAGCAGCTAATCCTTATCAAATGTTGTAGGACAGATGTTAGAATATGCTTTATGAGGCCATATCTTTGAAACTGTGATATCTTTTGTTATGAGTGTTGTAAAGCTCAAAGTCAGTGATATCTTTCAGTGAAGAGTAGTGGCTGCTACAGTAATGGATTCTATTACTTGGAGATCAGAAAGTCAAGACACTAAAAAAGAAAAGAAACCTGTTATTAGAAAGCCATCATGGGCTGGGAAGTTGGCTCAGTGGCAGAGTGCTTGCCTTGCATGCCTGAGGCCCTGGGTTTGATTCCTCAGCACCACATAAGAAAAAAGCCGGAAGTGGTGCTGTAGCTCAAGTGGTAGAGTGCTAGCCTTGAGCTGAAGAGCTGAGGGACAGCGCCCAGGCCCAGGCCCAGGCCCAGAGTTCAGGCCCCACAACCGGACCCAAAAAAAAAAAAAAAAAAAAAAAAAAAGAAAGCCATCAGCTTTTATAATGTTATTTGCAAAAAGATGATTGCCCTTTGAGGAGGTATGTGTGATAAATAGGAAGTTATTGTTAAGAACATATCAGTTATGTTATGAACGCTGTGGTACACAAAATTATAAGCTCCAATTATTTATCTAGTAAATGGAAAAAAGATAATGCTTGCCTCCTGATACTAAATAGGACTTAGTTAATGGTTATTATTAAAGAATCTGATAGCAGATATTTAGAAACAGCCACTTGAAGTTAATTTTCAAGTTGGATAATGATAATTAGTATGAAATGGTAAATAAAAATGAACTTCTGTTGGATTCTAAAATGCCTTGACCACACTGAAAAGATTTCATTGTTTCATAGTTACAGAATGAGAAATAACGGAATATCAAATAAATGTCAGTTATTCACCAAAAGTTCCTGAGATTAGTTCATTAACAAATTCTAGTTTGCACACTCTTTTTCATCTTAGTCATTCTAGTAACTCTGAGTTAGGGAGTATAAGAAATCTCTGGTAGCCAGGTGCTGATGGCTCATATCTACAGAACCACTCAGAAACCAGAAGTGGGGGCTGGGAATGTGGCTCAGTGGTAGAGTGCTTGCCTAGCATGCATGAAGCCCTGGGTTCAATTCCTCAGTACCACATAAACAGAAAAGGCCAGAAGTGGCAATGTGGCTCAAGCACAGAGAGGCTCAAAGACAGTGTCTAGGTCCTGAGTTTTCAAGCCCCAGGACCAGGAAAAAAAAAAAAAAGAAGCTCAGGGACAGTGCCCAGGTCCTGAGTTCATGCCTTAGGACTAGAAAAAAAGCAAAAAAATAACAAAAACAAAAAAGCAGAAGTGGCTCAAAGAGGTAAGAGCACTAGCCTTGAGCAAAAGACCTGAGGGACAGTACCCAGGCCCTGAGTTCAAGTCCCACAACCGACCAAAAAAAAAAGAAAAACACCTGTTAAGTATTGATAGTGAAACAGAAAAACACGTCTCTAGATCACATTTTTCTTTCTTCTCTCTAGGTGTGTTTTTGTGCTAAACAAATCTACTTTCTTGGGCTGGGAAGGTGGCTCACTGGTAGAGTGCTTGCCTTGCATGCATGAGGCCCTGGGTTCGATTCCTCAGCGCCACATAAGCAAAAAGAAAAAGCCAGAAGTAGCACTGTGGCTCAAGTGGTAGAGTGCTAGCCTTGAGCTGAAGAGCTGAGGGACGACACCCAGACCCAGAGTTCAGGCCCATGACCAGACCCCCCTCCCCCCCCCCCCCCCAAAAAAATGTGCCTTGCTTATGGGGCTGGGAAAGTGGCTCAGTGGTAGAGCGCTTGCCTTGCATGCCTGAGGCCCTGGGTTCGATTCCTCAACACCACATAGGCAGAAAAAAAAGCCGGAAGTGGCGCTGTGGCTCAAGTGGTAGAGTGCTAGCTGAAGAGCTGAGTTACAGCGCCCAGGCCCAGAGTTCAGGCCCCACGACCGGACCCAAAAAACAAAACAAAATAAAAAACAAATCTACTTTCTTGGTGCTAAATAATTATAAGAAAGCATATGCTAGTATATGTACATATATGTGTGTGTGTATGTGTGTGTATATATATATATATACACATATATATATATATATATATATATATATTATTTTTTTTTTTTTTTTTTTTGTCGTGGGCCTTGATCTCTGGGCCTGGGTGCTGTCCCTCAGCTCAAAGCTCAAAGCTAGTGCTCTACCACTTGAGTCACAGCGCCACTTCTGGTTTTCTGTGGTTTATTGGAGATAAGAGAGTTACACAGTTTCCTGCCCAGGATGGCTTTCAACCACTATCCTCAGTAGCTAGGATTACAGGCGTGAGCCACTGATGCCCAGCTTTAAAATATATTTTTGCATACTATTTACTTTAGTAATGATTTTACCTTATAGGTATGTCTGTTTTAAATAAAACAAAATGGAAAGGTGGAACACTTCAAATTCAGCTAGCAAAAGAAAGCTTTTTGCACAGGTAAGATTTGTCCCATGTGGATTTAAGTCCTATTTATATTACAATCCATTTTATATATTCTCTTTATTTGAAAAATTGAATAACACATTGTATGGTATTAGCAAATTCACACATTGCAATTAGAGCTGATACCACTCTCATTTCTGACTCTTTCACCCTAGACCTCACAGATAAAGGATTTATTGCATTTATGTGTGTACATATTAAGCTATAAAAATATATAAATATATTGTCTTCACCCAGACCTTCTGTGGTAATGTATCCTTCCCATTCTTTTTAATTTCAAAAAAATGGATATTTAGACTTTTTCTATCTTTTCATGATTGTAGATGATCTTTGAACATACCTCTTATATATGTACATGTGTTTCTGTGGGGTTTATGGCAAAAAGTGGAGTTGTTGAATCTTTGAATTATGTCCATTTAAAGTTTAATAGATGCTACTGAATTGTTTTTATTGATTTTTGAATGTTAATACTGTTGTCATTCAAACATATAAAAACATTAGATATCCATATGAAAAGCATAAGAGTAATGCACATGATTTTAGAATAAATAATTTAACAATAGATTATTACACTATTTTTATTTATGTAACTATTTGTCCATACTGAGAGATAAACTCATGACTTGCACATGCTAAGCAAATGCTCTACCACTGAGCCATGCCCCCAGTCATTTTGCTTTTAAGTTTGTGCTTAAGATAGGGATTTGTGGGCTGGGAAGGTGGCTCAGTGGTAGAGTGCTTGCTTTGCATGCATGAGGCCCTGGGTTCAATTCCTCAGCACCACATATGCAGAAAAAGCCGCAAATGGCGCTGTGGCTCAATTGGTAGAGCGCTAGCCTTGAGCTGAAGAGCTGAGGGACAGCACCCAGGCCCAGAGTTCAGGCCCCACAGCCGGCAAAAAAAAAAGATAGGGATTTGTAAGCCAGAAGATGGTGGCTCATACCCCTAATCCTAGCTACTCAGGAAGCTAAAATCTGAAGATAGCCTTTTGAGGCCAGCCTGGGCAGGAAAGTTCATGAGACTCCTATCTCCAATGATATTTCCCCTAAAAAGCTGGAAGTGGAGTTGTGACTTAAATGGTAGAGCACTAACCTTGAATAAAACAAGGTCAAACAATATCCAGATCCTGAGTTCAAACCCCGGGACCAGCATTAAAAAAAAAACGTACTTTTGCCCATGCTGATGTCAGATGGAGATCATCATACCTCTGCCAACCAATTATCTAGGTTATGAGTGTGTACCAATCTAGCTTGTTTTTGAGATAGTAGATTGCTGACTTTTGCCCAGGCTGTCCTCAGACCTGATCCTGTCTTTGTCTCCTGAGTAGCTGGGTTTATAGGTGTATGCCACCCTACTGAACACAGGTAATTTGAAGGGAGAAAAGATAAACTTAGGATTTTTTTTTCCAGACTTCAGGCTTGAACTCAGGGCCTGGACACTGTCCCTAAGCTTTTGTGCTCAAGGCTAGCATTCTACCACTTGAAACACAACTCTACTTCCAGTTTTTTGTGATTAAACAGAGGTAAGAGTTTTACAGGCTATCCTGCCCAGCCTGGCTTCAAACTCTGATCCTCATATTTCAGCCTTCTGCATAGCTAGGATTATTGGCATGAGCCATTAGGGCCTGACATTTTTTGGAGCTTTCAAATTGGGAAACATTTAAGAGTATCTAGATGAAAAAGGTTAGGCTGTAGCTAATACTTGCCTAGCATGTGTGAGGCCTTGGGTTTGAATATAACAGTAGAGTTTATGGTCTATGGTCTCCATATCTGCCACGAAAAAGTGTTGAGACCTTTGCTGGAACAGAGCACAATTGGGAATGGACATTGGGTTGGGAAGACTGACTGGAGTAGGGAGTCAGGACAAGATGTCTCCATGCTTAATTTTATGCTGTTTATTCACCTACAGGAGGGAACTGACAAATAAATAAGGGATTATATGATTCATATGGTATAGCAATCAGTGATGTTTTCAAAGAATGTAATGAGAAGTGGGAAAAAGATGCCTATTATAGCTATGGGATTAGCTGGCTTGCACTTTTAAATGTATGCAGGCACGCGTGTGCGCGTGCACACACACGCGCGCACACACATGTGCACACATACCTACACCTGTATAGAAGCTGAAGTAATAGACAAAATATTAGGAGTAGAATATGAAATGAGGAACATGTCTTCTTTGCCTGCCTGCCTCACTGCCTGCCTTTCTCTCTCTCTTTTTCTTTCTTTTTGTTGTTCATCATGGGTCTTGAATTCTGGGCCTGGGTGCTGACCCTCAGCTCTTCAGCTCAAGGGTAGTGCTCTACCACTTCTTGAGCCACAGCTCTACTTCTGGTTTTCTGAGTGATTTATTGGAGATAAGAGTCTTATGGACTTTCCTGCCAAGTTGGCCTTGAACCGTAATCCTCAGATCTCAGCCTCCTGCATAGCTAGGATTACATGCATGAGCCACCAGCGCCTGGCTTTCTTTGCATTTCTGTGTTACTTTGCAATGAAAATGTCTTTTCTATTCAGAAAATAGTGTAAGGATTATGCTATAAACAAAGTGTTGTTTTACTTTAGCTTTTAATGCATTAACTTATTTATAGTGTACATTTAAGGACAACTGAAGGAAAACAAGCATGTATGTGTGGTTGATTATTTTAACTATTTTCTTTGTAATTCCTATTTGATTCAGGTTGGCACAAGAGAGAGAAGAAGCAAAGATAAAGAAAGAAAAATCAAAAACAAGCAACAGCAATTTCTTTGAGGAGATAGGAGGAATGGATTTCCATATGAAAGCTGTGCCAGGGACAGAAGTCCCAGGACATAAAGTGAGTCTTCTCTATTAGCCTAAACCAATCTAAGAATTCACCTGAGTCCATGTGATTGTGGTGTCAGTTTTTACCTTACTTTGCAGCATTAACATAGACTGCACTTAGATTTTCAGTGTAGACATACAATCAAGTAAGCATAATTTTCTGCCATTTTATATAAAAAGAAGTCCAAACTTGGGAAGAAGCTGTCTCCCAAGTTATATAGGTGGTAAGAAATATATACAGGTCCCAAGATTGTCTTTTTTTTTGCCAGTCCTAGGGCTTGAACTCAGGGCCTGGGCACTGTCCCTGATCTTCTTTTGATGAAGGCTCTACCACTTGAGCCACAGTGCCACTTCCAGCTTTTTCCGAGTAGTTTATTGGAAATAGTTTCACAGACTTGCCTGCCCGGGCTGGCTTTGAACTGCAATCCTCAGATCTCAGCCTCCTGAGTAGTTAGGATCATAGGCATAAGCCACTGGCACTCAGCTCAAGATTATCTTCTTACTATCAGTTGTTTTTATGCAATATCCTCCATGATAGATATGAGATTAATACCTACTTCTTTTTATTTTCTTTCCTCTCACACTTCTGTTTGGGAGTTCTAGTTTCATTGTCAGAAATTAACCCCAGCAGGATTAATAACCCACTGTTTAACTTTTTAAAAATTATACATATATATATGTATACGTATGTGTGTGTGTGTGTATGTATATATATATATATATATATATATATATGTATCTATAGATAGATAGATATACTGTTGCCTGACATGTTTGTTTGTTTGTTTTTTAGAATTGGGTTGTGAGTAAATTTGGAAGAGTCTTACCTGTTCTTCACCTTAAGAATCAACATAAACATAAAATATCCTTTGTGATTAGTTTCTAAGGGTAACTGTTTACTAAAGTGATGGAAACTTATGAAATACCCTTAGGATCTTACTATCTCTATTGGTAAATTTTTAGGTGTTTTACAGGTTATATGTTCCCACTTTCTATGCAAGGTAAGATCTATTTATCTACACACATACACACACACACACACACACACACACACACACACACACACACACACACAAACATAAAACAATTTAGAGAAAATGAGAGAATATCATGAGGTTTTGTATAGTTAAACAATATGAATGATAAATGCCAAAGCAGTTATGTTAATTTATGCATTTTATTACATGTGGATTCAGAGCCATTGGAGATACAGAGTGAAAAAAGTACAAGTCTTACTGTGAAGACTTTTAAAAATTGATGTTTGGAATAATAGAAAAGTGATGAGGCTGGGAATATGGCTACCCTGGGTTCAAATTTTTGGTACCACATAAATAAAAAGTTTTAAAAAGTTTTAAAAAATTTTTAAATCCTTAAAAGAAGGGATAAGATAAAATTTTCCAAAAGAGGAAAACAGTAGGTAAAAATACCAAACAGGCAGGAACATGGTGGGTAGGAAAATAGCATGGAGAACAGATTTTGGTGCCTGTTGAATGAGATCAGATTATATCTGAGGCCTTGAAAAGCTGATATTACAGACTACTGTGCAGATGGTATGTATTATCAGTGTTTGCTATAGTATTTTTAAGCCATCCAGTTAATTTCTGCCAACTTACAATATTGGTGCTTTGTTTTACCCATGAAAATGTCATAGAAATCTCAGTTTCATAGGTTCTACAGGGTTATTAATCATCACTTTGTGGGATCTAGGCAACAGCCTTATAGCAGGCTGCAGGATAAGATAGAGTAAATATGACTGGCTCAAGATTAAACAGGTATCAATGGCTCACACCTATAATCCTAACTACTTAGGAGGCTGAGATCTAAGGATCAAGACTTGAGGATCCAGCCTGGGAAGGAAAGTTCATAAGACTCCTATCTCCGATGAACCACCAAAAAAGCCAAAAGTAGAGCTGTGGCTTAAATGGAAGTGTGCTAAACTTAAGGGGGGAAAGCTCAAGGTATGGGCCAAGCCCTGAGTTCAAGCCACAGAACCAGCACCCTCCCCCCCCCCACCAAAATAAATAAATAAAAGGCGTTGGTGGCTCACGCCTATAATCCTAGCTACTCAGGAGGCTGAGATCTGAGGATCATGGTTCAAAGCCAGCCCAGGCAAGAAAGTCTATGAGACTCTATCTCCAATTAACCACCAGAAAACCGGAAGTGGCGCTGTGGCTCAAGTGGTAGAGCACTAGCCTTGAGCTGAAGAGCCGAGGGACAGTGCCCAGACCCAGAGTTCAAGACCCACAACTGACAAAAAAAAAAAAAGATTATACAATATTGCTTTTTCATATCATATTGACGGGTTTGTTTTTTTTTTTTTAACACTTAGTGTTTTTGCTTTAGTCCTTGACTCTGGGTGACATCATGAAATATGATCCATCAAAATACTGCCACAACCTAAAGAAAATTGCAGAGGATTTCACAAGTACCATTCCCATAAGTAGCCTCACTTGGGAACTGGAAGGAGGCAATGACCCTATGAGTAAGAAACGTCGAGGAGAGTTCTCTGAATTTCATGGCCCTCCACAAAAGATGATAAAAGTACAGAAGGGTGAGGACTGTACTAGCTCCAAGGGTTCTGCTACAATTCAGAGAACAAGTCGGGCAACAGATAACACATCAACACAGCAAAAGGCCACACAGAAGATAGCTTGTGACTCTGTTATTCCTAAATCACTCTCTGTTCATGATGCTTCTCAGAAACCTCAAAGTGTACATTTTCAGACTTCTGGCTTACAAACTTCCCAGAAAAAAACTAGCATGTCTGATGATGATATTGATTCTGAAGATGAGTTGAGAATGATGATTGAAGAAGAGAAAAACTTACAGAGAGTTACATGTTCCTCGGTAAATGAATCTGAAAATGATCCCTTTGAAATCGTAAGAGATGATTTCAAGTCAGATGTTCACAAAACAAATTTAGGTATCACTAAAGATGCCCGCCATGTTAGTGAAAATACTTCAAGAAATGATTGTGAATGTGACTCAGATGATACAGATGAAATCATTGCAATGAAGAAAAACACTGGTAAGATTAAGAACAGTGAAGAATTTTCAAAGACAGAAACATCTATACACAAGAAAACATCTTTTAAAAAGAAAGAACTTTCTGATCGCTGTATCAAAGTACAAAAAAGAAAAAAAAAAGAGTCAGTCCTCAGTCATGGAGTGAAACCTAATCATAATCCTCTGTCCAACTCTAGCTCTAGCAGTAGTGATGAAGAGTCTGAGGGTGATGAGGAATATAAAGCCATGATGGAAAACTGTTCTCGTATCAATCTCACATTAGCTGATTTGAAACAGTTGGCCGGCATTGATCAGAAGATTCCAGAAAAAGATACTGAGAGTGATGGTGCAGAAACAACCAACCCCTGCAAGTCTGACATAGCTCCCAAGAACCCCAAGACTCCCCATAACCTCTATAGACGCCGACAGTGTATTAGTCCTGAGAAGATTGTGGCTTCCCTTTTAGAAGAAGAAAACACTTATGGTAATCAGAAAACAAAAGAAAACAACTTCAAACCAAAGTTCCAGGCATTCAAGGGAGTAGGTTTTCTTTATGAGAAGGAATCAGTGAAAAAAAAATTGAAAAAGACTGTTCATGAAGATCCAAGTTCCTTGAAACATGAGCATCCCAATAGCATTTCTGTGGAAAATAGAGCCCCATACACTAATGACCCATCATGTAAACAGACTGCATGCCAATCTGCAGAGAAACTGAATGGCCCAAACCACATTCAGCCTCAAAATAGAGAGTTGACTCTTGAGAGTAAGGACCATAAGGTATTGTCCTCTAATGGTTTTCAAGACGGAAGTAAAATTTCCTGTCTGTTGCCATTAAAAAGTAAGAAATCCTTAACTGCGACTGTAAAGACTCACAAGATATGCTTTGACAAAGATACTTGCCATAGTACCAAGAATCAAGAAAAAGCTTCAGAGGAAGAGGGTTCTAATTCAAGCAGCCTCACATCTTTGGTCAACCTATCCAAGATCTCTCCCAGCAAAGACAAGAAAAGCACAGCTGATTTCTCACTTTCTATTAGTAACTCTTCAGATGTGAATACTAAGGATAAGCATGCTGAAGACAATCAGAAGCGTTTGGCAGCCTTGGAGGCAAGACAGAAAGCCAAAGAAGTACAGAAGAAGCTAGTACATAATGCACTGGCAAATTTGGTGAGTATATTTTCTTCTGTGAATTTAAGAAAATACTCTCAAAGTCCAGCCTTTCCATCTGATGATGGTAGATGTGCTCACTTAGAGTTCATTGTCAAGGCATTCACCAGTTTGACTTTGTGTCCTTAAGATAGGAGCTTTTGTAATTCTAAAAGTGCATCCTAAAGGAAGTGAAATTAAACTGTTGAAAATATTTTAAATTTATATAAGCCAAGCACTGGCAGCTCATGCCTATTAATCTTGGCTAATACCAGAAGTCTGTGATTTGAGGATCAGATTTTGAAGCTTGCCTGGGTAAAGTTGAAGAGATTATCTTCAGTTAGCCAGGAATAAAAGCTGGACTGGAAGTATGGTTCAAGTGCTAGAGCCATGAGCAAGAAAGTCTACAAAAAAAGAAAGAAAGTTATATAAAATATATTTAAAAAAAGAAAGAAAGTCTACCAAGAGCACAAGGCATTGAGTTTAAGCCCCAGAATCAGCACGCCCCCCCCCCCCAAAAAAAAAGGAAAGAATTTTTGGGTTTTTTGTTGTTTCGTTGTTTGTTGCTGTTAGAACTCAGCAAAATAAAATTCCAGTTTATTGTTGAACAGCATTGTTTCACACATACATCAAACAGCCATAGACCAAAAAAAGGGGGGAAAAAGGAAACTTTTTTATCTTTGGCCTTTTTAACCATCTCATACAAACCAACTACTTTATAGTACAGCTAAGTACATACACAAAAAAAGTTACTGGAATGCTCAGGATAAGATTGGGGTTTTTTTGTTGTTTTTGCTTTTTTTGCAAGGCTTTTTTTCTCCTTTGAGATTATAATGAATATGGTCACACCACAAGTAGGCAGAAGGACAGAATGCTCTGAAGGCTGGTTTGGTCATCCGAGATCATTAAAAATGGCTGACCCCAACAATATGTACAAAAATATAAAATGTAAATAAAAATACAAACACATTTTCCTTTTTAAAGTACTTTTAAGAAAAAAAGCAGGGCCTTGGAAGTTTTGGTATTTTCCTCCCTGTCGCACATTCTCGTTGTGGTTTTGGTGGGGTGGTGGAGAGCTTGGTGATGCTGCCCTCAGTGGGCCACTGCTTGAAGGTGACCACGTTTAGCTTGTGAGTCGGGAAGTGGAGGGTGAATGCGTCACGGTGGCATTTTTTTTTTTAGTTTTCCTTTTTTGCTGTTTAGTCATCCTCATCAGTCTTCTGCTTCTTGGTACTGACATCATCATCCTCAGCTGCCCGTTTGCCTGTGCCTGCCTCTGCCTCCTCATCTTCATCTCCATCTCCCTCCTCACCATCACCAGCTTCCTCCTCCTCCTCTTCCTTCCCACCTTCTTCATCTACTTCATTATCAACCTCCTGCTCCCCATTGTCCTCTTTAGCATTCCCGTTGGCAGGGGCATCTCTTCCATTCTCTGCCTCCTCCACAACTTCTCTCTTCTCCTTCAAGACCTTGGTGGTGTCTCGGAGCTGGTATCTACGCCGTGTCTGATGTGGCCCGTGGGGCACGCCAGTGATCCGGTGCAGTGAGGGGAAAAAAGAAAGTGGGAGTTCAGGGCCAGAGAGCTACTGGAGTCCGGAGTGGCTGAGGAAGCTGCGGCCACCTGGACCTAGGAACAATGCAAAGATGCTTTTCAGAGCAGCCAGTCTTGTTCTTTTTTTCCTTTTTTTTTTTGTCAGTCTTAGGTCCTAACTCTGGGCCTGGGCACTGTCCCTCAGCTCTTCAGCTCAAGGCTAGCGCTCTACCACTTGAGCCACAGCGCCACTTCCGGATTTTTCTGCTTATGTGGTGCTGAGGAATCGAACCCAGGGCCTCATGCATGCTAGGCAAGCACTCTACTACTGAGCCACCTTCCCAGCCCAGGAAAGAATTTTTATGGGTGTTTGTTTTATGTGGGAACTGAGGCTTGAACTCAGTACCTGAGTACTGTTCCTTAGCTTTTTCAACTCAAGTCTGGTGTTCTACCACTTGAGTCACGGGTCTGCTTCTGGCTTTGTGTGTGCATGCATGCATACATGCATGCGTGCCTCTGTGTGTGTGTGTGTTGCTGATGGTTAACTGGCAGATGCTCCAGAAAAAAAGGAGCAATTAATACAAGAATGTATTTTCAGTGAAACTTAAGGATGATAAATTGGAAGGAAGCTGGGCGCTGGTGGCTCACGCCTGTCATCCTAGCTACTCAGGAGGCTAAGATCTGAGAATCACGGTTCAAAGGCAGCCTAGGCAGGTCCACTTAACCGGAAGTGGCATTGTGGCTCAAGTGGTAGAGCCCTTGCCTTGAGCTGAAGAGCGTAGGGACAGCACCCAGGCCCAGAGTTCAAGCCCCATGACTAACAAAAAAAGAAAAAAACAATTGGGAGGAAATGAAGCTATAGTAATAAGTCTGGCTGAGTTTGTGCTGAGCTTGGACATTATTCTTAAAGCTATAAAACAAAAATGCAGTGAAAAGTTTTAAGGCATTGAAAATTAGAAGATTAGTTTTATACATTTGTGGATCAGGAGGTGTTAAACTACAGCTTACAGGCCATTCATTGCATAGCCCATTTATGTACAGCTAACAATGTTTTTGTTTTGTTTTATGCCCACACTGGGCTTGACCTCAGGGCTTAGGCTTTCCTCTCAAGACTAGCTCTCTACCACTTGCATCAAATTTCCACTGCTGGCTTTTTTTCCTGCCTGGAATTCCAGTCCTCAGATCTCAGTCTCCTGAGAGTAGCTAGGGTTACAGATATGAGCCACTAGCATGGGGCTGCTAAGGATTTTTTTTTAATATAAGGCACATACCCTATGTGGTCTGCAGAGTTTAAAATACTTACCTTGGGCCTTTTATAGGTAAAAATTTTTAACCTCTCAGGAAAAATCCATCAGACCATGACAAAAACAATGAATTGAAAGGGTCATATCTGGAACCAGGGAGAACCTTCACGTAGAGGCCAGAATCAAAGCAAGATATTTAGAATACACTAAAAAAATACCAAGAAGGTCATATTGACAAGATTTGCTCACTGTGGAGAAAAAGGTGTCCTGAGTTTCTCTCTGGGACAAATAGGTGATAATGGCACTTAATAGAAAAGGGAAAAAGCTTAAGAAAGACAGCTGAAGGAGATGATGGCTTTTAGACATGTTCAGTATGAGATTGAGTTGTCTTAAAATGTGATGCTTTTGAATATCCTTAGGATGGTCATCCAGAGAAAAAGTCAACACACATCATCTTTGGTTCTGATGATGAAAGTGAAACAGATGCGACATCCACTCAGGAGCAAAATCACCCAGGAGAGAAGCTAATGAAAGTAAGATATTCCAGACATCCCTGTGGACATTCATCTGCTTTGCAGACTTACTTATTCCCTCTGTCTATCCCTCCCTTCCTTCAACATGGTCTTACTACATAGTTCAGGACAACTTTGAACTCATGGCTAGTCATCTTACCTCATCCTCCCAAGTGGCCAGGATACACACTTGTGCCAGCATACCCAGGAGCAGATCCATTTCCTGTATATTGTATAACAAGATGTCCACTCAACTGCCAGTTCAACATAAAATCTTTCTGGGAACTATAGTGAGACCTAGTACTCCCCAGGCCACCACACACAGAGATGACAGGGCTTTACAACATCTGCAACATTAGGTCAATGTTAGTGAAAAGAGTGCAGGGGGTCTTACCTACAAAAATTATACCTTGAACTTTGTATCCTTGGGGAGCATGTGAATTAATGATCCTAGAGGCCAGTTAGAAGAACATGAGTCAGGAGTTTCCATCTGACCCCACCACTTACTTGTTCCCAGTTTATGCATCGAGGTTGTTGGTTTTTATATATGGGGAGGTTGCATTATGAAGGAAATCCTGATTGCCTCAGTTAATAAACATTTATATTTAACAGGAGTCCATGGGTAACACAACTGGAAAGCTGTTTGATAGCAGTGATAATGACGAATCTGATTCCGAAGATGACAGTGACAGGTTCAAGATTAAGCCACAGTTTGAAGGCAGAGCTGGACAGAAGGTTAGTGAAGACTGAAAATTGACTTGACGCATGTCTAATTTTTCAAGGTAGTCCTTAAATCTAGGTAAATACAGATAGGCCTTATCTCACATTGTTGTGTTGAGTGTTTATTTGGGGCATGAATCCTCTCTTAGCTCTAATTGGTTCACAGGTGATGCAATGCAAATGTTAATGATGTGAATATACCAGTGGAGGGAACTGTACTTGGCAAGTGGTCTGATAAGCTGTTTATTGTGAATCTGGTTGTCACTTGTGTATACTTTTTATCCATATAGCTCATGAATTTACAATCACACTTTGGCGGTGATGACAGATTCCGCATGGATTCTCGGTTTCTAGAAAGTGACAGTGAAGAGGAGCAGGAAGGTAAATACTTTGTTGTCCAAACAGTCCTGACATAGAGCTGGGAAATCATCCAGTGGACCTCTTTCATTTAACAGACACAGCACCTCAAGGCATTCAACTGAAGAATGTATAGTCAGATTTATAAGTCAAATTTAACTTAAATTTACACATATTTAGTAATAATTCCTTAAGTATCCTTTGTGTCATTCTGGCATGATAGAGAAAGGTAAGTATCCTATCTAACAATCTGTATCAGTTAGTGTGGCAGGTTTTGCTAGGGTATGACAGTTCACATTTGCTTTCTAGGAATTTTTTCCCCCAGGACCTTGGATATAGAAGAATGATGGTGGCATCATTCTACTTCCTGCGAAGGCATTTTTCACAGCAGTGGTTCCATACATCTATAAGCCCTTACCTTCTACCATCTTACATGTGTAACTCCCTTTCCCACTCCCAATCTCAGAACTTCTGTCATTGTCTAATTTTGTTTTTCTCTCCTTCCTATGTTAAATCTAATGTGTATCTTAATCTTCACTGTTAATACTTTCAGTCCTTTCTCAAGTACAATCTCTAACTTTATCCTCTCCATTTATTTATTTTATTTATTTATTTATTGCCAGTACTATAGGTTTTTGTTTTTTGTTTTCATCCTATCCTCATGCATTGCTGTACTCTTAAACATTGAGAAATCTCTCCAACCTGTGTTTTTGTGCTATTCCTGGTGCTTGAACTTAGGGCCTGAATACTCTCTCTTAGCTTCTTTTGCTCAAGGGTAGCATTCTTGCCACTTGAGCTACATATAGCTCCACTTCTGGCTTTTTTTTTTTTTTGAGTAGTTTATTAGAAATAAGAATCTCCTAGACTTTCCTGCCCCAGCTAGCTTTGAACCTCAATCCTCAGATCTCAGCCTCCTGATTAGCTAGGAATATAGGAGTGAGCCACAGGTACCTGACCTTTTTTTAAAAAATATATATAATTTTTTTGAGACAGGGTCAACTGGGCTTTATCTATCTATGTTAAGACTTTCTTAGCCAGGCACAGGTGGCTCATGCCCGTAATCCTAGCTATCAGGAGGCTGAGATCTGAGGATCGCGGTTCAAAGCAAGCCCAGGCTTTAGTGATACCTTAATACACACACACACAGAGCAAAATAGTGGCCTATGTCTTGAGTCTTTCAGAGCATTTTATTCTATTCACCATATAGTGGACCATTTTGCTATTGATTAAAATTTAAGTTAAAATGGTAACTTAATTTCCTCAGTCCTGGAAAGGGACAGGTTTCTCTTCTGCCCTCCCAAACCTAAGAGTAGATGCACTATGAGTAGAGAAGAGCTGTCCAGCTCTGTTCCAACCTGGGCTACTAGGGCAGAGGTGGAGGTCTGAGTTGAGTCCCATGTCACAGTTGTTCAATGTAGCTCTTTCTTTCCCTTCTGATAATTGATTTATAAAACAAAGGAGGCCATGGATGCAGGACAGGAAAGGGTGAGTAGATAAATAGGGAGGGTGAAGATTTTTGCCTAAAATCTGGAAGTCAGGCTCATCTGGCAGTCTTCTGAATAGGAACTCTTAAAGTACCTCTTGTGTAGTAGGGTCCCTGAATTCTCTCCAGACCCCATGTTCTCCTCCTTCAGCTATGGTGATAAGCAGAGAAGATAAGAACTTCCAGCCTTTTTCCTATTGGGAAGGAAAACTCATCATCTGGCTTTGCAGAGAAGGTGTCACTTTATGCTCATAGTACATTATCTATACCATGTGCTCTAGGATACCATATATAAAGAATCAAAAAGTAAAACACTTGAATAAGCTTGTATTATAACATTAATATTGTTGAAAGTATCTTTTCTGGGATGAAGTGATTCATCATTCTAGTCCTGCTTTAGTCGTTTGTAATTTGTGGCAATATGCTTTTCTTTTTAATACAAAAAAAAATATAAAAATAGGGGCTAGGAAGGTGGCTCAGCGGTAGAGTGCTTGCCTACCGTGCATGAGGCCCTGGGTTCCATTCCTCAGCACTACATAAACAGGAAAGGCGGGAAGTGGCACTGTGGCTGAAGTAGTAGATCACTAGCCTTGAGCCGAAGAGCTCAGGGACAGTGCCCAGGCCTAGAGTTCAAGCCCCATGACCAACAACAACAACAATATATATATATATATATATATATATATATATATATATATATATATATATATATATATGTATATATATATGTATATATATATATGTATATATATATATGTATATATATATGTATATATATAAAAATTGTTGAATATTGACATTTTCATTATGTTATAACCTGGAAAGCTTTTCATACTTTTTTATTTTATCATATGTGCTCGTTTTGTTTCTGCATGCTCTCCTCCTGAGACTCTACTTTGTTTGCCCACCTATATTCCAAATGGTTTATAGGTTGATAGGGTTGAAGACTCTGCTTTGAACCCTTAGTCATTTTTTCCCTAGTTTCTGTTTGTTGTTGATTTCCAGAATTAATTTGGAAGAAACAGGCTTGGGCTTTTTTCACATTTCTGTTATCCAAACTAGTTTTGTTCTCTGGTACTTGTTTGTTTCCAGTAGTTTAAAGTGACAGCTTATGGAGTTCAGTGGTGCCTTATTTGTAGGGTACATGGCTTTATTTCTGTAATCCAATATTTCTGTAACCGTTATTAAATTACCATCTCTTATGGTCAGATGACAGTAGCTCATGCCTGCAATCTTAGTTACTTAGAAGGCTGATATTTAAGGATCTCAGTTTAAAGCCAGTCTGGGCAGGAAAGTCTGTAAGACTAAACTCCAATTAACCACCAAAAAGCTGGAAAGTGGAGCTGCAGTTTAAATGGTAAAGTACTATACTTGAGTGAAAAAGATCAGGGATAGCACTCAGGCCCTGAGTTCAAGTCCCAGAACTGGAACAAAATAAATAAATTGCCATCTTTCACTGTCAATTTTACTAACATGCAATCAAGATTATTATTTTTAGAATATTTTAAAATACTTTTAGAATATTTTAACGCCTTTAGAATATTTTTTAAAAATCAATTTTCTAATTTTATAAAATTAGTAGCTTCCTGTGTTACATTTTTCAGTCTTCACTTGCCATGGACTTGCTGCTGAAGTCATTAAGTCCAAATTTTACATTTGTCAATGGGAATAAATGTAGAACATTTTGTTTGCTAGTCAAGTGATTTCGGAATTTGTTGTGCTTGTAGATAGAATAGAAAAAATCTGGTGAAACTCTAACCCTATCTTGATGTGTTTCGTTTATGTACTTCATATGGTCTTCTAATTTATCCTTTTTTTCCTCAAAGAGGTAAATGAAAAGAGAAGTGCTGAGGAGGATGAACTTGCTGCAGAAAAAAAGAAAGCCCTGAATGTTGTGCAAAGTGTCTTACACACCAGCTTGAACAACCCTCTAAACAAGGGACCAGCAGCTAAGAAATTTAAGTATGGTTTATGTTCTGACACTTTCTAGCATATTTCCCTTTGCCATAAGTGTCTTAACTTTGCTATAACTATTTGATTGAGCTAGGCACTGTGGCTCATACCTACTATAATCCTAGCTACTCAGGAGGCTGAGATCTGAGGATTGAGGTTCAAAGTCAACCAGGGGAGATCTAGTTCTAGAGTCTCTTATCTCCAGTTAACCACCAAAATAAGTAGAGGTGTGGCTCAAGTTAGAATACAAGCCTTGAGCCAAAAAGCTAATGGACAGTGCCTGGGCCCTGAGGTAAAGTCACAGTACCAGCCACACTTACACAAAAACAATCTAGGTGATTGACTTAAGGTCAATCACCTAGAGCTCTTTACTCAGCCTAGCCAGGTCATTTTTAGCTTCTTGGGACAAGCACTTGACCACACGTATTGCCTCTTATAATAGCCTTATCTTTAACCCAGTGATTCGTGTTAAGAAGCTAATCTTAAATTATTTTTATATATTCTATTTCTATGTATAGACATATTCTATATATATTCTATCGATTGGATATCTATGTATTCTATGTATAGATATGTCCTATTCTATACATAGTTGTCATAATAGCATTTCTCCCATTTGTTAAACCATTGTAAACTTGTTTAAGTACTAATTCTAAAATTATTCATCTATATAATTATAGCATGGAAAATTTCAAGTGTTTAATTTAGAGAGACTAGTGTAATGAAACACTGGGATATCATCAGGGTTGGTCACCAACATGTGACCCATTTTCTCTTCTCTACTACTTCTGTTCAACTCTTGACTTAACCAGTGAAATATTTTATGTAAATTTTCAGAAGTATATCATTTTGTGTGTATGTAACTTAGTATGTTTAAATTTTTTAAGGTATCAGAAAAATTCAGGAAAATTCAAAAGCAGATAACTTAAAAATACTCTTCTAACAAGAACCAAATTCTCAGGCTGGGAAGTTGGCTCAGTGGTAGAGTGCTTGCCTTGCATGCTTGAGGCCCTGGGTTCTATTCCTCAGCACCACATAAGCAGAAAAAGCCAGAAGTAGCGCCATGGCTCAAGTGGTAGAGCACTAGTCTTGAGCTGAAGAGGCGAGGGACAGTGCCCAGGCCCAGAGTTCAGGCCCCATGACTGGCCAAAACACCCAAAAAGAACCAAATTCTCTTCTTTGATTCTATTTAGCTTCATTTTTGCCCCCAAATTAGTCTTCCTAGTCTTAAATTATGATTTGCAATTAGTTGTTTTACATATATGATTTGAGGATTTCTTCTAACATCCCTTCTTTTTACATAGGGATGTCATACATTATGACCCAACAAGGCATGACCATGCTACTTATGAAAGAAAAACGGATGATAAACCCAAAGACAGGTAAATTGAGCTACTTTTTACCTTAGTTTCTGAAATTGCTAACATACAGTTCTGAGATGCATTGGTTCAGACTGCTGCTGTTTCCTAGCTCTGTCTAGGATTTTATTTTTTTTAACTTTCCATTTCTTTTTTTACATATTTTATTGTTATTAAGTAGTTGTACAAAGAGTTAGAATTCCATAAGTCAGGTTATGAGTACAATGCTTTTTGGTCAGTGTCATCCCTTCCCTTCATTCCCATGCATTTTCTTCCTTTTGCTTCTATCCATAAGCAAAGATTTATTTTTAAACTGAGGTCTACAGGTTTTTCTGGGAAGTAAATATATTAGTAAACATGACAGTAAATATGTTAGGTTGCAAGCCAGTCTCTGTGAGTGACAGCTCTCCTCTACCTGTATAGTAGAAAAGTAGCATATGAAGGGAGGCTGTGTTCAATAAAATTATTAGTGGACACTGGAATTTGCTTCTGTATAATTTTTGCATGCTGTGAAATCATTTTTTTCCTTTATTTCAGACTATTAAAAAAAGAAAGAAAGAAGCAGGGGCCTATAGTCCTAGCTATTCAGGAGGCTGAGTCTGAGGATCATAGTTTGAAAGCAGGAAAGTCTGTGAGACTGTTATCTCTAATTAAACCAAAAGCCAGGAGTAGAGCTGTGTTTCAAGTGATAGAGCACTAGCCTGGATCAAAACAGCTTAGGGACAGCACTTGAGCTCAAGCTCCAGGACCAGTATCAAAAAAAAAAAAAAAAAAGCAGGAAGCAGTTGTGATCTGACACATGGCCCATGCTTTACATCATGTTTTCCCGATAATGTCATCCATTTGATCTTCAGCTGAAAACATTTCTTAAATTTCATGTCATTTTTCTTCTGGAAACTGGGGATTACTGTGAGGTCCTGGCTTCTTATGAAAAAAAAGTTTCAGTCTCAGCTCTCACGTTTCACTTTAAAAAGAAATCATAGACCTGCAAAATGGCTCAGTAATAGGATACCAGCTGTGAGCAAAAACACGAAGCAAAAGTGACATTGATCAAGATCATTGTACTTTGTAAATTGACATGTTGAATTAAAATCCCTTTGTAATCCTTGTTGCTCATAGGCTGAGATCTGAGAATTGTAGTTCACTGCCAGCCTGGGCAGGAAAGTCCATGCAACTATCAATTACCCAACAAAAGCTGGGTGTGAAACTATGGCTTAAGTAGTAGAGCCCAGCCTTGAACAAAAAAGCTCAGAGACATTGCTCAGGCCCTGTGTTCAAGCCCCAGGACCAGCAATCATCACTGAATAAATATAGCTAAGCAAGAGCCCAAGGCCCTGAGTTCAAGTGCCAGTACTAGCAAGAAAGAAAAAAAAAAAAAAGAAATTTTTAAAAAAGAGAAACTGTCAGAAAATGGCAACACTTTCTCGACATCTGAGTGATATCCCAATTATTTGGATTTTTTTCTATTTTCTGAATTAATACAGGTGATAGTGTTGATAATCTTTCTACTACCATGTAATAAAAATCTTTGTTCTTTCATTTTCTTCCCTGGCTCTTTTTGCCAGAAGTCACATACTAAATCTTTGAGATTATTTTCCATTTTCTCTGAGTCATTTAGTCTAGCCCATGTTCATGGGATAGGTAAATTAACTTCAAACTCTTGAAAGAAGCATCAAGGAGTTATGGGATCCAGGCTTAAAGCCACATATACTACCTCTGTAATAAGTACTAGAATTGTCTGTGTGAGCCAGGCACCGGTGGCTCACACCTGTAATCCTAGCTACTCAGGAGGCCCAGATCGGAGGATCACAGTTCAAAGCCAGCCCGGGCAGGAAAGTCCATGAGACTCTTATCTCCAATAAACCACTAGACAACAGGAAGTGGCACTGTGGCTCAAGCAGTAGAGCGCTCGCCTTGAGCTGAAGAGCACAGGGACAGCGCCCAAGCCCAGAGTTCAAGCCTCACGACCAACCAAAAAAAAAAAGAATTGTCTGTGTGACATTTTCTTACAGGACTCCTATACACAAGAAGTATATCTATCTTAAAATTAACCAGGTGGGTTCATTTTCTGAAGGATAAACTGTTTCTGACTCTGAACAGACAGGATATCCTGCTTCTTCTTCCCATTTTAGATCTTTAACAACTTTATGTCTTGTATAGAGTGAACTCTAATAGGAAAGGGTATTTTTTGTTCTTTTATTTTCTAAAAACTCTGCTGCAAACTGCCATGTTACTTTTTGTTTGAGATTAAAGAGAAAAGTATATTCATTTCTAAATATAGAGCAGACATGACAATATAGACAATTCCAAAAGAGTCTAGTAAATTTAGCACATGTCTACTTCATTTTTAAAACTGAATTACATTTGATTCCTTTTTCATTTAAAACTTAAAATGATCATAGAAAGCATCTGATTTATTATGTTCCTTTTGCAACTGAGGATGTAGGCCCATTGACCGTGATTCCTTACAGCTGATAGTTTCATTAATTTCTGAATTGTAATTTAGAAGATAAGAAATAGGAGAATGTACCAGATACTGACGGCTCATTCCTATAATCCTAGCTACTCAGGAGACTGAAATGTGAGGATCATGGGTAGAAGCCAGCCCAGGCAGCAGTCTATAAGACTATTATTTCCAATTAACCACCTAAAAGCCAAGTGGTAGAACACCAGCCTTAAGCAAAAAAGCTAAGAGACAATGTCCAGATCCTGAATTCAAACCCCAAAACTGGCACAAAAGAGATGGGGGGAAGGGAGGGAGGGAGGAAGAGAAAGAATATGAATCAAGTTATATTTGCATTTCAAACAGAAAAGGTCAGATAGGTTGATGTTAGGGAAATGAACCCTAAGATAAGTATTCAAATGTTTTTTTTTTCATTGATGTGATTGTTTCTAACACATTTATCTTTCTTTGTTGCTTTGTACGTCCCTCCCCCATGGTATAACCAACCCCTGCTTTCACTGTATTAGATGTGGGTATAATTTGTGGAGGGGAAGAGGAAAAACAACTCGTTTAAATAGGGAAACAGGTGGACCCATTGCAACAATGAGATGTACAAGTCATTATGTCGAAAACAAACTTTACAACTTTGGTGCAGGGGGTAGGGGAGGAGGATTGGGAGAGGGGGCGGGGAGAGGATGGGATGGGAAGGGGAAACAAAGGAGGAGGCTACAATGCTTGATAAGAAATGTACTCATTATCTTGCCCATGTAATTGTAACCCCTCTGTACAGTATTTTCACAATAAAAAAAAGTTATATTTGCATTTGTTTGAGATCATTTTGTATAAAAAGTTTGTTGGTCAAGGTTCTCTGTAAATCTTAATTATTAAAAGGATGGAATTAAAGTTATCCAAGGATGTGACTTTTAATTTTTTCAAATTTTTCAAAACTTGCCTTTATGATATTCATGTTTTTATATGTCATTGCAGTAAAGCAAAGCGAAAGAAAAAACGAGAAGAGGCTGAGAAGCTACCTGAAGTATCTAAAGAAATGTATTATGATATTGCTATGGATTTGAAAGAAATATTCCAGACTCCAAAAGATAGCAATGAAAAGGAAGAAGATATACCACAGAAAGAGGACTGTGCTGGGGAAACAGAGGGAAGCCATAATTCTGCAGCTCAGACAAGTGGGGACACACAGCCCAGCGGGTTCACATTCTCCTTTTTTGATTCAGACACTAAAGATGAAAATGAAGGTACTTTTCTTTTTTTATCACATTTTTATTTTGAGCAGATTAAGCTTGTCTATTCACTGTACTGGATTTACTATTGTCTGGATAAAGGTCTGTTTTCTTGATTTAGATAAATAATATGAGATTCAGTGTTCCATGACCATAAATGTGATGAATGAAATTAACTATTTTTACATTTCAGGGAGAAACTTGGGGAGCTAGCTGAGATATGTAGGAAAGCCAGAGAATAAGATTGTATCCCTACTGGTCTGTAGCTGTAACTGTGATGTACAGTTAAAGCAAAAATTTTTTAAAAACTTATGAAAACAAATAATGCAATGATACTAGGATATACACTTTGTATTTTTATTCTTATATAAGGTTATTTGCTGGCTAAGGTTGGCCTCTAGTTTAGTCTGTGTTATTTAAATTCTAATATATGAATTATTTGGATTGAATTCATGTTCGGGGCCACCATTGTTGTATGTATTGATGTACAGCCTTGAATGTGAATAATTACTATAAACTATATTTTACAACTTTTTTTCTGGCTTTATTATATAAATTTTCTATTTGGTCATAGTTTAACCATATCATAATTTAATGAATCTTTTTTCCCTTTTTTCAAGTATCTGTGCTTTCGATGTAATTACTGAATGATGAATTTCCCTCGTATGCTCAGTAGTCTTGTAATAAAAGCATGTATTGTGTTTTAAAAAAAAAAAAAAAGATTGTATCCCTAGCCAGGCACCGGTGGCTCACACCTGTAATCCTAGCTACTCAGGAGGCTGAGATCTGAGGATCACGGTTCAAAGCCAGCCCAGGCAGCAAAGTCCGTGAGACTCTTATCTCCAATAAACCACTAGAAAACCGAAAGTGGCGTTGTGGCTTAAGTGGTAGAGTGCTCGCCTTGAGCTGAAGAGCACAGGGACAGCACCCAGGCCCAGAGTTCAAGTCCCAGGACCGACCAAAAAAAGGAAAAGATTGTATACCTTCTTCTGTTACATAAAAACAGGAAGATGTGAAGCAAATAGCTTTCTTTAAATGCCATAAGAGATGCTGTGACATGCAAAACTGTTGCTGTTTATGATAGGAGAAATAGCCTTCTTTGTTTGATATGAGTAGGCTGTGTCACCATCAGCTACAATTTTTCATCCTATCTCAACCATAAGCAGCCACAGGGAAAAATAGCTATTCTTTTATGATATAGGGTCTTGCCATATAACCAAGGCTGGCCTCAAACTCACAATCTTCTTATCTAAATACCCTGAGTTTTATAGGAGTATATTATAGGACTAAAGAAGTATATCACCATGCCTGCCTAAAATGTCTATTCTTTAGCAACCTATTTCTTATTCAGTTTTTAAAATTCATGTTCAGTTTTCTGGGAGTTCTCTATAAAAAGCAGGGTAGACCATCCAGAAATATACAATAATTTGTGATTCTGTGTAAAAGATTGGCACATAAAATAGCATCAGTGTGTGTAGCACTTGTGTGTTATTCCAAAAGGAACTATACAATGTAGCAAGTTTTTTTTTTTTGGGGGGGGGGGGGTTGGGTTTTTTTTTGGTCGGTTGTGGGGCTTGAACCCTGGGCTTGGGCACTATCCCTGTGCTCTTCAGCTCAAGGTGAGCACTCTACCACTTGAGCCACAACGCCACTTCTGGTTTTCTAGTGGTTTATTGGAGATAAGAGTCTCATGGACTTTGCTGCCTGGGCTGGCTTTGAACTGTGATTCTCAGATCTCAGCCTCCTGAGTAGCTAGGATTACAGGCTTGAGCCACGGGCACCAGGCTTAGCAGGGGTTTTTTATGCAGTGTATTGTGTGCTCTGATTACATAATATTCTTGTAGAAAAGGTTCATTCTAGCATTATTTTTTTTTAATCTGAGAGCCAAGTATGAGAAATTGACCTTGAAATGAGTCCTAGTCACCATCAACCTGGGAATTATTCTTAGTAGTTGGAAACTTCTGGAGACTTGTAAGGGGTTGGTTGTGTCTAGTAGCTTTTTCAGCAGTCTAGAAAGAGGTTTGGAGACTTGAAAACATCAAGATATATTTCTTTCCTTAAGCAGAAGAAAACCTAGTTTTTCTGAATTTTGTTATATTTTAGACTTCTCTCAATAGTACAGATGTTAAGGTTATTCTCTGTTCTTTTTGAAAAATTGTGTGGTGCCAGGCACCATTGGCTCACACCTATAATTCTAGTTACTCAGGAAGCTGAGATCTAAGGATCCTAGTTTGAAGCCAGCCTGGGCAGGAAAGTCCAGGAAATTCACATTTTCAGTTAACCACCAAAAAGCCCAAAGTGGAGCTGTGGCTCAGAGGGTACAGTGCCAGCCTTGAGCTAAAAGAAGCTCAAGGTCCTGAGTTCAAACTCCAGGACTGGCATTTTTTTAAAAAAGTGTTGTTCTTTTATAAAACTTTAGTTTTATGTTTTTCTTATTGTTATATTCCTTGCCTAGTCACTATCAATGCCAAAATTAGACTGTGGTTTCTTTTAGTACTTGAAAATTAGCAAAGATAATGCTACATAGGAACTGAGGCTGAAGCTCAGTAGTAGACTACTTGCCTTACATGAAAAGATTTTCTCCAGCACTAGGGGCAAAATGATACTACCTATTTTCAACTGGTTATAAGTAGAATTCTACATAATATATTTGAAATTTACATGTGTATATAGTGTAATCATTTTTGTATAAAGAAATACATGTGTGCTCATTATAACTTCATCATCTTTTATTGTCATAAAAATATAGAAACCTATAAAGTTGAAGCACTGAAACCTGGGAAGACTGTCTGGCAGGCAGATCCCCGTTTCCAAGATAGCAGTTCAGAAGAGGAGGATGTTACTGAAGAAATAGATAATGAAAAGCCCAACCCTGGGTAAGTAATTGTGTAACAGTATATTTGATCATTGTAAACTCTGAGTAAGACATGCCTTCAGAAGTATTTTGGAAGCATCTAGACTTCTTTTCAGTGGACCTTTTCTAGAGGTCTCTAGCCTTTTAATAATGGAGAGTGTAATTATTTTTTTCTCAAGATTTGGGCAGAATTGGGCAGGGGAAAGGCAGGGCTCGGATGTGCTTGGGAAAGTGAGTTTGAGTGCTACAGTGGGCTGGGTACCTCTACATGAGAGCACTGCCAAAACAACTAGTACTGTGGGAGTACAAGTATCAATGACCAGAGTGGGGAAGATATAAGTTGTACTTAAGTCTTTGTTGTCAAGGCTTCAAATATTTAAAAAAAAAAAAAAAATGTTGAATTAAAGGGTTAGGGAGAGTCATTTTAACTCAGAGCAACATTAATCAAACATAGCAGCTATTTCTAAGGCATAATTTATATTTTCAATGTATTTTGTCTTCTTCGGTATTCAAATTAAAATGAATATGTTGGTACACTGGTAATCCCAGCACTCAGAAGTCTGAGGCAGGAGGATCACAGTTTGTGCTGCGTAGTGAGTTCCAGGCCATTATGGCTATATACCTTGCCTTAAAAAGTGTGTGTGTGTGGGCTGGGAAGGTGGCTCAGTGGTAGAGCGCTTGCCTTGCATGCCTGAGGCCCTGGGTTCCATTCCTCAGCACCACATAAGCAAAAAGAAAAAAGCCGGAAGTGGCGCTGTGGCTCAGGTGGTAGAGCGCTAGCCTTGAGCTGAAGAGCTGAGGGACAGCGCCCAGGCCCAGAGTTCAGGCCCCACGACCAGACCCAAAAGAAAAAAAAAAAAAAAAGTGTGTGTGTATGTGTGTGTACACATATATATGTATATATAAGGTGAATTACCTAGTTTCTTTTTATTTCTCTCCCTTTTCAGAGAAGAAATATTACCTGAAAATGAGACCACTAGATTTTTCTTTTTCTCTAAAAATGATAAAAGACTTCATGGTAAGTACATTTTTCCATTAAAAGGCAATAGGATACCTGTTATCATTCTGCACTGATCCAATAATTCACAGCTGAAAATTCTGATCCTTTGTAATGTTGTATGGTTTAGCCCCCATGTTACTTTCATACTAGTGTATATTAACTTGTAAAGCTCCTGGAGATTCAAGAGCTCCTTAGTTACCAAATTCTCTGCTCATTCATTATCCTCAACAAGGGCCTCTTTTGTTAATAAGGACGTGCGAACATATAAAACTTGTAAGTTTTTCAGTACTCTAAAAGTTCACATAAAAATTGAGGCTGATAGTGAATTCTTTGTTTCTTAAAGCTTAGAATACACAAAAAGACATAATGTAATTGTAATGATCTATAAACAGTAAAAGTTCTAGTAAATTTTTCATTTTGAAAGAAACATTGTTTAAGTTTGGCCAGGTGCCAGTGACACCTGTAATCCTAGCTACTCAGGAAGCTGATATCTGAGGATTGCTGTTCGAAACCAGCCTGGGCAGGAAAGTCTGTAAGCATCAGAAAACTAGAAGTCACACTCTAGCTCAAAGTTTTGCAGAAATTTGTTTAAATGGTTTTGACTAGAATTGAAGATCTCGGTAATGCCAACCCAAGAATGTTTTCCATTTCTATAATAAGAGGCTCATGTTACTTGTTTTTTTTTTCCTTTATAGGTTCTGACTTATTCTGGAGAGGTGTGGGAAATAATATGAGCAAGAATGCTTGGGAAGCCCGAACAAATAGCCTACTAATGGTAAGTAATTGTTTCCCCTCATGATTGTCTGTTCCAGTAAATAAGGTGCTGTTTTTGTGTTGAAATTTCCCTGGTTTAAGAATAGCAGGAAGAGGTGGCACTGTGGCTCAAGTGGTAGAGCGCTCCCTTTGAGTCGAAGAGCTGAGGGACAGCATCCAGGCCCAGAGTTCAAGCCCCACAACCAACAAAAACAAACAAACAAACAAAAACCTTGAAAAAAAGAATAGCAGGAATAAGAGATGAAGGTTTAGAAAAGATAACAACTGAGAACTTGATTTAAACTCTCATGATTCTAGTACTGGAAAGAATTAAGGTATTTTAATTAAACCTATGACTGTTGCAGGTGAGGAAACAGACTTGCTTGTTGGGTGACTGTACCCAGAATGTAGCAGGACTAACAGGACATCAGGAGGTTTTCAAAGACTGAATTATGGTCTCCTAAACAAACATGTACAGCCAAATGTTTGAATGGTCCCTGTTATTCCAGTGAGCATTTCCAAAATGAGTTTGACAACCCTAGCAATGATAGTGATCAAAATTTTACTTTATAATTATTGAACACTTTGAGAACAATTAGTATTTATTATTAATAGAGGTTTTTGATTATGATTTTTCTAGGATTGTCGGAAGAAACATAAAGAAGCCAAAAGGAAAGCAAAACCAAAATAATAAATGTTGAACTTGGTTTTAACACTGAATATGAAGAAGACTTTCAGAAGAAAATTGAGCCAGAAAATGAACTGACAAGAAATTTCAGAGAAGAATATTCAAAGTCTGGCTGATGAAACATCATTCTAGTTATGGCCTATTTTTATATGGAATTGCTCTGTATTTCTTCCTAGAAGGCTACTAGAAAAAAATGGAGCTGGGTGGTGTGGTAGTGCACACCTATAGCCCAAGCATTCAGGATGTTAAAGTGGGAAGATAATTTGAATCTAGAAGTTTTTGACCAACCTGTTCAAACTATCAAAAAAATTTTTTTGAACTTTTGCAAGATGAGGTACAAGATACTCCTGAGTGCTTCTTGTTACCTTCCATCCTAAATAACTAATGGACTTTTCTTTTGTCTGTTGTGTGGCTTGAACAAAGGGTCTGGGCACTATCCCTGAGCTCTTTTGCTCAAGACTGGCACTCTACCACTTTAAGCCATCTTGCCACTTCTGGTTTTCTGTTGGTTAATTGGAAATAAGAGTCTCAAGGATTTTCCTGCCCAAGCTGGCTTTGAACAGCAATCCTCAGATCCCAACCTCTTGAGTAGCTAGGATTACAGGCATGAGCCACCAGCTCCCGGCTTAATGGGCATCCTTTGATAAGTTTACATGAAGCCTATTTTAAATAAATGGTTTGGTATACTTACATTTTCCAAATTAGTCTTTGTGTGAATTATAGACTATTTGAAATATTTATATCTAATTTACTAAATATTTTGCACTTCCATTTTGTTGTTTGCATATAAAAGGATCAATTAACAGTCAACTTTAAGCCCAGCACTGGTGGTTTATGCCTGAAATCCTAGCTAATCAAGAGGCTGTTATCTAAGGATCATAATTGGAAGCCAGCCCAACAGCAAAGTTCAAGAGATTCTTATCTCCATTTAACCACTAAAAGCCAAAAGTGGACTGTGGTTCAAGTGGTGAGCAGTAGCTTTGAACACAAACGCTCTGGGACAGTGCCCAAGCTCAGAGTTTAAGCCTCAGGACCAGTTTAAAAAAAAAAAAAGAAGTCTACACTTGTGTTCTGATAGAGACTTATATGTAGGAATATTTCAGCCCATCATAAGAAACTGTGAGAAACAGTGGGAGCTGATAGCTCACACCTGTAATACTAGCTACTGAGGATCCCAGTTCAAAGCCCACAGGGACAGGAAAATCCCATAAGACTTTTTAACCACCAGAAAACCAAAAGCGGTACTGTGGCTCAAAGTGGTAAAGCTCTAGTCTTGAGTAAAAAAAGAGTTTAAGGACAGCACCGAAGCCCAGTTCAAGCCCCAGAATTGACTGACCCTCCCCACCCTAAAAAAAAAAAATGTGAGACAAAGGAAGCCAAATACAGTTTTCCTGATCTCGGCCTCGGTTAATTGGGGAGCGACTTATAGAAGCAGGTACATCAGGCCCAAAGTTCTACCTTGGCAACAGGCATATGGAAATTAACCTGAAACCTGTAGCCAACAGGAGTCAGATCTATAGTCCATACAGTGAAGCTAGTTTAATATTTCACTAAATAAACCTGACTAGGATTGAAGACCTCTATACATGATAAGCAAGTATGGGTATATCTGAAATTATCTTAGTATTCATTGATTTTTTTTTTTTTGGGGTCCGGTCATGGGGCCTGAACTCGGCCTGGGCGCTGTCCCTCAACTCTTCACCTCAAGGCTAGTGCTCTACCACTTGAGCCACAGCGCCACTTCCAGCTTTTTTTTTCTTATGTGGTGCTGAGGAATCGAACCCAGGGCCTCATGCATTACAAGGCAAGCGCTCTACCACTGAGCCACCTTCCCAGCCCCAGTATTCATTGATTTATTGAATACAAACTATGAGGGTTGGAATCTTCTGGGTTTTTAACACGTTTCTATTTCTTAAATGTGTGTGGCACGCAGATGCTCAGTTTGTATATTTGTTAATAAATAAAGAGTGCAAGGAACTAAGTAGCTTCAAAAGCCCTTTTGGATTCAAGACTTCGGATTTCAAGGCAAATGGGAATAACTCTTTGGCAAAATAAATACTTTAAATGTTGTCCTTTTTCTATAGAAATCCTATTTATATCTTCTTACCTATTGCATCATAGCAAACCATCCAAGTAACATTTATTTTGCTCATAAACCTGCTGTTTGGTCAAAACTTTTGCATTATTCTCTGCATGTTTTGTGATTGGAATAGTTCAGGTGGGCACTAAGCATCTACTTTTGGATGCCCATCAAGGGCTTCTAAAACATGGCAATTTGAATCCAAGGGTAAATGTTCCCAGAGGCAGGACAGATACTGCCAAACTCCAGAACCAGCTCACTCACTTCAGTATTCTATAGATCAAAACACATATAGCCTTTTTTTCCTCAGTGGGAGTGAAAGTTTGTGACCATATTTAAGTCTCACATGCTTTATCTACAAAGCAATAGATGACATCAAGATGCCTCCCCTACCCCCTGTTATCTAGATACAACCACATTCAAAGATACTGTTTCCTCTGATAGTAACCTCCATTATTTTTGCCTGTTTCACTCATGCTCAGATTTCTTGGATGTTTTGTTTTTAATTTTGTCTTTGAAGGTGATGGAATCAAATCCAAGTCCTTGTGTAGGCTAGACAAGTTCTCAAATCACTGAGCTGCATGCCTCACCAAATAGGAAGGCTTGTTACTCTGGAAAAATGATTCAGGTCTTTGATCCATGTGGTATGTTTGATCACAATAACTTTTTCTTATGATTTTATTACTTGTTAAAATATTTTGTCTGGAGATTGTCACTCAATACCTTGCAACATACTATAAAATACTTCTCAACCCAATATTTTGGCAAGTTTTTTTTGTTTCTAATGGTAGAGATTGAACTAAAGATCTAGTGTTCCCAGTCATTTTGCAGTTTGACTTTGAGTCTTGCTTTTTTTTTTTTACCAAGGCAATCTCTGATTTTGATGTTCCTCCCTCTGTAACCTGGAGTTATAAGCTTGCGCTACTACTAGTTTCTGGAATGCAACTTCTGCCATGGGTGAGGGCCCATGTAAAAGAATAAAATATAATGAAGGACATATGCTTGCCTAATGCTAATAATGTATACTTTTACAATCTTATAAAGCAAAATACATAACTTGAACCAGATGTTGAAATGATTAGGATTAGTATAAAAACAAATATTTCAGCATATAGTATAGAAATGTAACAGATACCTTGTAGGGAGCTCCCTATGCAAATATTTCTCAAAATACTACAATGAAAATATATTAATGATCTTAATATGTATTTTACAGTTTCACAGAAGCAATTCAGAATAGTAAATACCTCTAGTTATAAAGGAAGAGTTTTGGCTTTACCAATTACTGGGTATTCAGCCTTGTATGTTTTCATATGAATTCATTTTGGGAAACAAAAACAAGCCACCTTAGAAAGTAGAAAAAAAACACTTATGTATTAATAGTTTCTAAACAGCTGAAGAACTTTTTACCAAATAGACGAAAATAAAAGCACAGAAAACTTACACAAAAACTGATATATATCTCCTAGAAAATAAGTCAAATGGACTTGAAGACCTAGTGGATAGGAAGCAAAGTAAATCCTCCTGGAGAATAAATAGAAACCAAGATGTTTTTCTTTATGATCTTATGACTTGCTTCCAGTCTGGTCTCAGAGGAAGATCCGGGTCACTTGAACTGGTTGTCAATCAGTGTCCCTTTCATTTTCGCTTTCTTGGCTTCCAGTTCCGCCAACTCTTGCAGCCGCCTCTTGCTCATACCTTTGCGCTCCAACTGTTTTTCAATCACTTTGGCATTTTGTGCATAGGAGTCAGCAACTTCCCTAGCTTCAATCTCTTCTTCCTCTTCATCAATGGTGGACACAGTTACAGAGCTGAACTTACCCATGTCTTTAGTCCTCTTGGTCATCATCACCTTCTTAGGAGGCTCTTGTTTCTGAGTATATATATTAGTTTTCCCAAAACCCTGGCCGAACTTCACTACTGCTCCATCCACAATGAAGGTCACAGGAGCATTCTTCGGTTGGGACTGGTAAAAGAGCGGTAGTCCACACTTTGCACACTTCTTCCTGTACTGTCGTTCGATACCTTCAGGCCTGCGAAGGTAGGTAGTCTCCTCATCTTCCGTATTACAAAACTTGTGAGCATGTTTGGCAGCATCAATCACACGAGATCGGTCCCGGGGCCTCATGGGTAATTTCTCTAACTGACAATCTAGCACCAGGACCATCTGGCCGCACAAACAGTAGTAGACATGGAGGGGCTTCTCACCATCATCATATTCCTCTCGGTCCCGGGTGTCTGAGCAGACGACCGACCGGGACACTACTTTCGGCATAGTTCTGAAGAGATCTCTGAGTGATTAATAGATCTCTAAGAGAGATTTTTGCTTAAGGCTATCACTCTCTACTTGAGCCACAGCTCCACTTCTGGCTTTTTTGACTGGAGATGAGTGTCTCAAGGACTTTCCTTCCTGGGCTGACTTCAAATCACAGTCCACAGCTTCAGATTTCAGATCTCCTGAATAGATAAGATTTACAGGCATGAGCTACCAGCACCCAGCTATTTTATTGTTTGAGGAGTGTGTGAGTTCAGGGACTCAGCTTTTTTGTTCAAGGGCAAGCACTCTACCACTTGAGTAACACTTCCCCTTTAAGCTTTTTTTCTGGTTAATTAAAGGGGAAAGTCTCTTGGATTGTTCTGCTGGGGCTGACTTCAACCAGCTTCCTCAGAATTAAGGATTACAGGCTTAAAGCCACCAAAGCCCAGACATACTGAGGTGGTGTGCTTTTTGTTTTGTGCAAGTCCTGGGGCTTGAACTCAGCACCTAAGTGCTGTCCCTGAGCTTTTAGCTAAAGACTAACACTCTGCTACTTGAACCACAACACCTCTTCCGGCTTTTTGGTGGTTAATGGGGAGATAAGAGTCTCATGGACTCTCCAGCCAGGGCTGGCTGTGAACCGCTGTCCTCAGATCTCAGCTTCCAGAGTAGCTAGGATTACTGGTGTGAGCCACCCACTTCTTACCAAGATTTTGAATTCAGGACCGTATGGCTTTCTACAGCAGACACTTATGCCACTTGAGCGCTGTGGTAAGCATTTTAAACAAAGTACAATTTTTTTTAAGGTCTAGCTAATTGTTAGGCCCTTCTTTCTCTTTGGCCTGTAGTAACAGGGGAAGCAGCCTCTGAATTAGTTGCACAGGCCCCACAGTGTAATTAAAGTCGTTGTTAGTTGTGATTTACATGTATTAAAAAATTACATTTTAGTTGTGATTTACAAGTGAAATGTACAGACCTTAAATATCCTATTAGGTAAATGCTGACACAAGAAGAAGAGGCCCAGGACCGGGGAAGGAGATCACGGGAACTCAAGAGTCTCGGCGCGCGAGGTCCGGCTCCGCCCGCCCCGCCCCGCCCCGCCCCGCCCAGCCCAACCATCCCCGAGTCCCTCTGCCAGTCTCTTCCCGGAAAGAACCGGGATCCCAGCCCGCACAACAGTTCAGGGTTCGGGCGGTGGGCGTGGTCAGACTCCACTCAGCCAATTGCCACCCAGGTTGTTGGTGCGTGCTAGACTGCTCATGATGATTGGTCTCCGTGGGGCCAGCACGCCGGGCTGTCAGGGCGTTGCATCAGTTCGGGCAGGCGCGCTGCAGCGTGGTCGCGGCTCTTCTAGGCTGACGGGCCGAGGCCATCAGGTAAACCTCGCCCTTGAGGGGGCTCCGGGTCCCTCAGATTCACCTGCCTTTACATTGTTAGCGTCTGTGTTCTTCTAAAACGGAGATGAGAAGAGATTGTAGAAAGACCTTCAGAAGTAGGAGTGCAAGGAGTGTAACCCGCCGAAGTTCCTCAGCAGTCCTCGGGGGCGAGGAGGGGGGGGGTCTTGAGCTCGCTGCTTTGTGAGCATTCGGGGTGATTTGGCACCCTGGAGATACTCAAGCTCCACTTCCTGTCTTTTGTTCCCGAGACCTTGCTTGTACCGCTGCCCAAGCTTGCATCCCTATCCTGGGCTCTCAGAGTCCCCGCTGCATGCCTGGCTGGGAACACGGGGGAGAAAGGCAGCTTTCAATGGGAGGAGCTGGGAAGCGTGGAGCTCCACGTCTGGAGCTGCCTGGGGGCTTGAAGAAGGGCAGACCATCCCTAAAGTACTGTAGGATTTGAAAGTACCCATCCCCTTGGTTCAGAAAATAGGGAGTCGCTATTGCTACTGGATTTGAAATACAATGGGATGTGGCCCTTATATTTTCCAGCCTCATCTGTAGTTTTCTTTTTAGAGGAGGTATTGAAATGAGTAAGAGTATTTTGAAAATGATAATATAAGTGTGTGTATCTGAGACTTCTATTTATATGTACACGTATGTGTGTGAGATGTGTACAGTCACCCCTACACACAAATTCTGCATTTAGGGACTCAACCAGCATGTGATTTGGGGCTGAGTTAGGTCTATGAAAGTTGCATCTGTAGTAGACATGTTCAAATTATATTTTTCTGGTTATTCCTTAATATGGGATAACAGCTGTTTACGTACCACTTCAACTATATTAAGTATTACAAGTAATCTGAAAATAATATAAAGGATGTGATATTATACATGTAAGTTATATACACTGTTATATATAAAGGACTTAAACATCTTTTGATTTTGGCATCTCTAGGGGTCCTGGAAATAAACTCCCATTAACACTTAGGGGTGTGGAGAAAGTTGTTTGGTTTAGCTTTTAACAGTGCTGGAGATTGAACCCAGATTTGTGCACATGCTAGTCAAGCACTCTACCAGTGATTTACCACCCCAGCCTAGGCCAACTATTATACCAATTTGGGGTTTTTTTGTTTTGTTTTTTTGGTTGTAGGGCTTGAACTCTGGGCCTGGGCGCTGTCCCTGCGCTCTTCAGCTCAAGAGGGGCGCTCTACTTCTTGAGCCACAGCGCCACTTCCAGTTTTCTAGTGGCTTATTGGAGATCAGACTCTCACAGACTTTTCTGCCAGAGCTGGCTTTGAACTGCAATCCTCAGATCTCTGCCTCCTGAGTAGCTAGGATTACAGGCGTGAGCCACCGGCGCCCAGCTTCTATTTGTTATTTTTATTGGCTGTATGATATCCAGTCTTGATGCACCATAGTTTAGTCATCTTGAATTTTTAGTCATCTTGAATATTTTCACTTATTTGCCTATAGAATTGTTCCTGTGTACCAACCTAAATAAAGAGAGGGAGATTCTCCAAAGGTATCTATTTGGGAATAGAAGAGTACTGCAATGAGAATATGCATGTCATTGTATACCATGATCATATTCCAGGAATTCCAGGCAAACGGAGAAATTTGTATAAGCTACTTAGATAAAGTCCATTGGTCTTGGAGACTTGAGGATAAGGTTAGTAGCTCACTTGTGAAGGTACCATTCTTTGGCACATACTCTATTTAGATCATTGTATGAGGATTGGGCAGATGGTGTAGACCTGTATTCCCATCTACTAGGGAGGCAGAGGTGGAAGGAAGGATTATGGCCCAAGTCTTGACTTGAACAAAAGCACTAGATCTTATCTAAAAAGGCTGGGGACGTGGCACTGGTAGAGGACTGCCCTTTCTCCCTTCCCCCCCAAAAAAACATATTTATCTGATTTATTGATTTGTTGGAGTTTGTTTGGTATTGTGGATTAAATCAGGACCTTCACCTCCTTTTTTTTTTTTTTTTTTTTTTTGTGTGGCCAGTCCTGGGGCCTGTAATCAGGGCCTGGGCCCTGTCTTTGAGTTTCAGTGCTCAAGTCCGGCACTCTGCCACTTGAGCCACAGCTCCACTTCTGGCTTTTTCTGAATAGTTTATTGGAGATAAGAATCTCTCAGACCGATCCTTTTCCTGTTCATAAGCGTAATTGGGTTCTCACGCGCTTGTGATATGTGCCTTCCTCTAAACCTTTACAACGTGGGCACATTACCCATCTGATGTAAAAAAAAAAAAAATCTCTCAGACTTTCCTGCCAGGGCTGGCTTCAAACTGTGATCTTTAGATCTGAGCCTCCTTTAGTAGCTAGGATTACAGGCATGAGCCACCACCAGCACCTGGCTATACATTTCCTCTTTTGAACCTTTAGAAGGGCATTGGTATAGCTGGTATGAGCCCTCTCCCTTTGTAACTTTTCACCCCTAATTTTATCTGGGTGTCTCCAGAATGATTTCATCTTGGCATCACTTTTCACATATGAATATCTTTGTATAAAGATTTTGTGCTTTTTACTGGTATGTCTATAGCATAAATGTTAATAGAATATTATTTAAGGGAAAAGACCTAAGATGGACCTACCGTTGGTGTGAAATTTGACATAAGATCTAGGAGTTCAAAAGGGAAACTGAGAAAGAATCCTAGAGGTAGAATCTAGGAGTTGCTGATTAATTGGATGTGGGGATCATTTGGTGACTGAAATGTCTTGCCTATATAATAGGAAGAGTAGTGGAAACACTTAAGTAGAGTTAAAAGGATACCACCCTTCCTCCCTCCAAAAGCAAAAACAAACAATACTACCAATAACAGAGAAATCAATGAAGCAAGTGAGCTCCTGAGATTTTTTTGAGGGGGATTTTTTTTTTGCCAGTCCTGCAGTTTGAACATAAGGCCTGGGCACCGTCCCTGAGCTGCTTTTTTTGTTCCCGTCGGGGGGCCTGAACTCTGGGCCTGGGCGCTGTCCCTCAGCTCTTTAGCTCAAGGCTAGAGCTCTACCACTTGAGCCACAGCGCCATTTCTGGCTTTTTTCTTTTTGCTTATGTGGTGCTGAGGAATTGAACCCAGGGCCTCATGCATGAAAAGCAAGCGCTCTACCACTGAGCCACCTTCCCAGCCCATCCCTGAGCTTCTTTTGCTCAAGGCTAGCCCTCTACCACTTGAGCCGCAGCACCATTTCTGGCTTTTTCTGTTTATGTGGTACTGAGGAATTAAACCCAAGGCTTTGTGCATACTAGGAGACAAGCACTCTACCACTAAGCCACATTCCCAGTCCCTTCTTTCTCAGCCTCCTGACTGCTGGTATGTCAGGCATGTAATGCTGTACCCAACAAAAGCTTTGAGAGTTTTAGACAAGACATTGAGGCTAAAGTAGCCTGATAGTGTTGTGGAACTGGGAAGAGTAGAGAGGTGGATTGTGGTGAGAGGAAAGGAGAGAAACTGAAATAATGGCTCAAGTGGCAGAGCACATGGAGACACTGGGTTCATTCCCTGGTACCAGTGGGGGGCAGAAGGGAGGGAATGAGGGATGGAATCCTTGTGAATAACTTGGCAAATTGCCCTCACCCCACTTAGCTACTACCCCCACCCATCGCCCTGTGGTTGCTGGATACTGTTGTGCAGGTACAGCTTTCCAGTGGATACAATGGGCTAGAGCAATCCTGTGATTTATGCATGGCAGCTGTTTGTCCTCAGCAGCTGCCATAGCCCGGTCATTGGTACAAGGTTTTTTTCCAATTACATATAATCATCCAATCTGATATTGTAATGCTGAAAGCAGGGGGTTTTTTTATACCCCAGGCTCAAAGTCCAAGAGTCTCACATTAAGTCTGGCCCCTTACCCCCATATGCCAAAGAAAAAGATATAGTGAAAGACAGAGAAAGGAGATTTATAACATAGCAGCTATAGGAAGACAACACTTCAGGGCATCTTCAGTCATCTACATTCGTATAGACATTGGCCTGGTTAGGAAAATGGAAGAGAATGGGAAAGGAATAGATCAGACTCAGTCGTCAACAGGCTAGGACTGTTTATTGTCGATGAGGGGCATGGACCTTCCTGCAGGTATGGAAGTTGTGCAAGGTATTGGATTTGGGGTCTGGTTTATATGGGTCTTAACAAGGAATCAAAAGAGTAAAATGAGGAGGCTAGGGGTGGGTACATTCAGTTAGGTCCAGAGTGGAATGTCCAGCCTGGGGTGATGGGGACTTTTGGCTGAGCCCAGGATGGAGTGGCATGCCTGTGGGCAAGCAGGTTAGCACACACCTGGTGTTTTGCTTGACCTGGGGGATTAAGGTGTGGGAGTCAGTACTTCATAGTCCATCTTTAGGTATATAAAAAGATTGGGCTGAGAGGAGAGAGGCAAATGCTTCATGTAGGATCCTTGGATACATGAAAAGATTGGGCTGAGAGGAGAGAGCAAGTCTTTCATATATAATTATATAATTGTCAGTACAGTGTGAGAGTAGTGGTGCTCAGTCCTTGATCTGCATGCTAATCCCCTAGGGATCTTGTTAAAAATCCAGATTCTGGCTGGGAATGTGAGTTACTAGTAGAGTGCTTGCCTAGTATGCATGAAGCCCTGGGTTCAATTCCTCAGTACCACATAAACAGAAAAAGCCAGAAGTGGCACGGTGGCTCAGGTGGTAGATGCTAGCATAGTATGTTACTATGTTATAGAATAAATATGCAGCATGTTAAGCTGAAAAAAAAAAAAAAAACATTGCTTTAGTATACTCAGAACTACTAGAGGTTTGTAGAGGTGTTTTTTTTTTTTCTCCTAGAGCCCATTGCTCCAGATTGCTGCAATTCTTGAGTACTTAAGGTTTTTCATCTTCTTTTTTGCTAGCAATCCTGTCCCTTTCTAATCTGATGTTGGCTTGGAAGTATAGTCAGCAACTCATTTAGAATTTTGGGGTACCTTTCTTTTTTTTTTTTTTTTTTTTTGTCGGTCGTGGGGCTTGAACTCTGGGCCTGGGCGCCTCATTTAGAATTTTAAGTCAGAAGAAGTAGGCAATGAGGATTGCTCACTAGTTGAGTTATAAATTGATCCAGTGTCTGCTAGAGATTATGAGTAAAAATTTTAAAGATACTAATATTTTTCTCATAAGGAACTTATTACTTACAGAAATCATGAAAAATCAATAAAAGATAAAATGAAAATTTGAATTAACTACCCAGAACCACATAGCAAGAAAGGTATTTGAATTAAATGGTGGCAAATGCTTGTAATCCCAGCACATAGGATGTAGAAATAGAAGAATCATGAGTTTGAGGCCACCCTGGGCTATATATGAGACCCTATTTTCAAGAAAAGAAAAAAAAATTTTTGAATATGACATTTTTGCCTTTTTGCTTTAAGTTTTGTTTTTCTTTTTAAAAGTGCTTCCTCCCTCCTGGCTAGGAAGGTGGCTCAGTGGTAGAGTGCTTGCCTTGCAGGCATGAGGCCCTGACTGGATTTGATTCCTCAGCACCACATAGGCTGAAAGCTGGAAGTGGTGCTGTGGCTTAAGTGGTAGAGTGCTAGCCTTGAGCTGAAGAGCTGAGGGATAGCGCCTAGGCTCAGAGTTCAGACCCCATAACTGAACAAAGAAAAAAGTTTCCCCTGCTGGGCACTAGCTACTCAAGAAACTGAGATGAGGATCACGGTTCAAAGGCAGCCTGGGCAGGAAAGTCCGTGAGATTCTTATCTCCAATAAATGGCCAGAAAACCAGAATTGGCACTGTGGCTCAAGTGGTAGAGCCCTCATCTTGAGATGAAGAGCTGAGGGACAGCGCCCAGGCCCAGAGTTCAAGCCCCACAACAACCAAAAAGTTTCCCCTGTTCTAGAGGAAGAGGTTATTTTAAGAAAAGTACTTTTTGTCACGTGAATGTAGGTAAGAAAATTACTAGCTACTTGTTTTTGTTTTTTGTTTCTGTTTTTTATATTACTAATGAGTTTTAGCACCATCAGAGAGAATTTCAAGATTTTCTTTTTAGCTTTTTGGAAAATATATTTTTGCCATTATGAAAAGATACTGCAATTTAAAAATGAGGCCTTTGCTGGATGCCGGTGGCTCACACCTGTTATCCTAGCTACTCAAAAGGCTGAGATCGGAGGATGCAGTTCAAAGCTAGCCTAGGAAGACAAATCCAAGAGACTTATTTTTAAACCAGTACTGGGAGCTTGGGCACTGTCCATTAACTTTTTTTGGTCAAGGCTAGCACTCTGTCACTTGAGCCATTGCTTTACTTCCAGCTTTTTGGTGGTTAATTTGAGATGAGTTTCAGACTTTGTTGCCCCCGGAGGCTTTGAACTGCAATCATCAGAACTCACGTGCGCGCGCACACACACACACACACACACACACATATACACACACCACAGAATATAATAAGGCAACCCAGTTATGAAGGGTAAAGGATGAATAAACATTTATCCAAAGAAGATAAACAAATGGCAATCAGCACATCATTAGTCACTAATTAGTCATTAGGGAACTGCAAACCAAAAGTACAATTAAGTCCTACTTTATACATGTTAAAATAATTGTAACATAAAGATAGTAAAGATTATTAAGGAGGATATGGAGAAACTGGCATCCCCATTCACTTCTGGTAGTATTTTAAATGGTACAATCACTGAAAACATTTTGGCAGTTTCTCGAAAAGTAAGGTACAGCCAGAAATGGTATTTCAAGCCTGTAATATAAGTTTGAGAAACAGATAGGGTGCAGTGGAGTGCACCTAGCTACAAGGGAAACAAAGTAAAATTCAAATTCAGGTCAGACCAGGCATAATGTGAGACTCTTCCTAAGAAACAGTCAAGGCAAAAAGGAACTGGCAGGGTGGCTCAAGTGGTAGAGTACCTGGAGACCCTGAGTTCATACCACAGTACCACTACCACAGAAACAAGTACAAAGCTAATATATAGCTCCAACTTTTACTTATAGCAGTATATAGCTATAATAGCTTAGAGAAATGTCTGCATGGAAACTTGTATTTGAATGTTCATAGTAACATTATTCACAACAACCAAAAAAGTAGAAACAGGGGCTGGGAAGGTGGCTCAGTGGTAGAGCGCTTGCCTTGCATGCTTGAGGCCCTGGGTTTGATCCTCAGCACCACATAAGCAAAAAAAGAAAAAAAGCCGGAAGTGGCGCTGTGGCTCAAGTGGTAGTGCGCTAGCCTTGAACTGAAGAGCTGAGGGACAGCGCCCAGGCCCAGAGTTCAGGCCCCACAACCAGACCCAAAAATAAAAAAAAAATAAAAAAAAAAGTAGAAACAATCCAAATGCCTGTAAACTGATGAAGAGATAAGCAGAATGTGGTATGTCCGTCAAAGGGAATATGATTCATCCATAGAAAGAATTCATGTTTGGACCTTGTTATAGGGATAAACATTGAAAAACTGATAAGGGAATTAACCCAAAAACAATAGGTCACAAGTACATGTTTCACTTATATTTTCCTTTTACAAGAAATGTTCAAAATACAAGTCTTAGAAAGTCAGAAAGCAGATAAGTAGTTGTTGGGAGCTGAAGTAGAAGAGGATGTGATTTGCCAAAGGACTGTACGCTGTAAGGATGTACTTAAGGGTTGGGTGTGGGTTAAATGGTAGAGCACCTGCCAAGCAAGTGCAAGGCCTTGAGCTCAAACCCCAGTACTACTCGAAAAAGGGGAGATACACTCTTAACAGAGGTGAATTTTGCCCACTAAATTTATGCAGAATATGACTAAGTGTATGTATGTCCACTTTAATAATATGGTATGTACTATTCCAATATTTCTTTGTCACAATAATACATTTGATTTCTCTTGCAGCAACAGAATGGTACAACAAGTTCCAGAGAACATCAATTTTCCTGCTGAAGAAGAGAAAATCTTGCAGTTCTGGTCCAAATTTGATTGTTTTCAGGAATGCTTAAAGCAGTCAAAGCATAGGCCAAAGTATGTCAATTTGTTTGGTAAATGTGGAGCTGTTAAGAGTAGTGGTTTCTACCCAGGCACTGGTGGCTCACACCTATAGGAAGTTGAGAGTTCGAAGCTAGTCTAGGCAGAACAGTTTGTGAGATTCTTATCTCCAATCAACTAGCAAAAATGCCAGAAATAAAGGTATAACTCCAGTGGAAGAGTGCCAGCCTTGAGCAAAAAAGCCAAGCAACAACATCAAATCCTGAGTACAAGCCTCAATATAGGCTTGTTATTATAAAGGTGTTATACAGCCAGGTGCTGATGGCTCACACCTGTAATCCTAGCTACTCAGGAGGCTGAGATCTAAGGATCACAGTTCAAAGCCAGCCCAGGCAGGAAAAGTCCGTGAGACTCTCTAATAAGCCACTAGAAAACCAGAAGTGGCGTTGTGGCTCAAATGGTAGAGCCCTTGCCTTGAGCTGAAGAGCTGAAGGACAGTGCCCAGGCCCAGAGTTCAAGCCCCATGACGGACAAAAAAAGGGGGAGGTTGTACAGAGGAAGAGTTATTTTTTCTGAAACTGTTTTTTACTCCATTTTATTAAGAGATAATGTAAATAGAGTTTCTAAAATGCCTTCTTACTCACCTTTGTCCTCATCTCCACTCTTACTTAGCACTTAAACCTTAGTGTAAGTCTATAGATGGCCACTATAGTACTAGTCTCCCTTCACCTAATTAATCTGTTTAATCTCTGTTTTCATTCTGTATGTTTTCTGTACAAAAACTTCATAAAATAGGTGTTCATGGGCTGGGAAGGTGGCTCAGTGGTAGAGCGCTTGCCTTGCATGCCTGAGGCCCTGGGTTCGATTCCGCAGCACCACATACGCAAAAAGAAAAAAGCCGGAAGTGGCGCTGTGGCTCAAGTGGTAGAGCGCTAGCCTTGAGCTGAAAAGCTGAGGGACAGTGCCCAGGCCCAGAGTTCAGGCCCCATGACCGGACCCAAAAAAAAAAAAAAAATAGGTGTTCATTGCCTTGTTTTACTGATAAAATGAATTAGGGTCAGGATTAATAATTTTCCTTCTGTCATGGGAATAATAGAAGAACGAATAATATAGTGGCAACCTCCCCAGCTCTTTCTGGAAGTAGTAACTTTCTGAAAGTAGGACCTGCAATAAATATCTAACCCATTAGGTCCGAATTCCCTTGTCTTACTGCTTTTCTTCTTCCTAATACATATTACTGTGATAGAATCTACATATAGAAAAATGTTGTCCTAAATCTTGACTGTCATTTTTAAATGGCCTTAATGTATTTTTATTACCTCTTTTAGATTTACCTTCTATGATGGACCTCCTTTTGCAACTGGACTGCCTCACTATGGACATATACTTGCAGGGACAATTAAAGATATAGTTACAAGATATGCTCACCAGAATGGGTTTCATGTTGATCGAAGATTTGGATGGGATTGTCATGGTTTACCTGTGGTAGGTTGAACTCCAACCTTAAGTTATCTGTTGTTGTTTTCATAAGCAATATATTTCATCATGTTCTATGTCAAAGTATGATGAATTTTTTAAGTTTCCACACATATATGATAGAAATTTGTGGTCTTCATTGCTTTGTTTGTTTGTTGTTGTTTTGGCCAGTCCTGGGGCTTGAACTAAAGGCCTGGGCACTGTCCCTGAGCGTCTTTTGCTCAAGGCTAACACTCTACCACTTGAGCCACAGCGCCACTTCTGGCTTTTTCTGTATATGTGGTACTATGGAATCAAACCCAGAGCTTTGTGCATGCTAGGAAAGCACTCTACCACTAATCCACATTCCCATACCTTTATAGATTTTCTGAGAGCTAGTGTTCTTTTAAAAGTTGTTTACATGGGCTAGGTGGGTGGCTCAGTGGTAAAAGTTGTTTACATTGGGCTAAATGCATTTACACACAAACTGACTAGGGGAAGAATTCAAAGACATAACTTTCCTGAACAATTATTGTACTGTTTATCAAAGTGAATACTAGAAAGTTGAATTTGTCTTGGGGTTGGGCAAAAGTGAAGAATTGGAAAACCCAGAAATAAAGGGAAGAAAGGTGAGCAAATGTAGTTATTATATTCAATGTACCAATGTACAGTATGTAAAAGTGAACTATGTAATTTGATGGTAGGGACTAGAGGGAAGAATAAATGAAGGGGTGACATTGACCAAGAAGCATTGTACTCAGGTAACTTAGGAAATTGTAATCCTTTTGTACAATTACTTAATAACAGCAATAATAATACTAAAAAGCTGTTTTATTTTCTAGAGTTGGTTAGTTATAAATACAACTTTATAAGAATATTAACACTCACTGCAACTTTTCAGGAATATGAAATTGATAAGACACTGGGAATCAGAGGACCAGAGGATGTGGCCAAAATGGGGATTGCAGAATATAACCGTCAGTGCCGAGCAATTGTGATGAGATACTCTGCCGAGTGGAGGGTATGTTAAATTATTGTCAGAAAATGAACAGAAAATGTTTTTAAATGGACATTGAAATGCTTTATGGTCCTTTGTACTTTTTATGAGGTCTTCCTAAAAGTATGTTTCTCATGTGTGGTTGTGACACAAGAACTGTTCACACTCCTTTTTGTATTGTGTATACCAAAGAACAAGGCCTTAGCTTCTACTTATGAGTTTGTTAGCTTCAGTTACATGTTTTCCCCCCTAATTTCTGTGTGCTTAATTAGTCTTCCATATTTAATCTCCTACCTGCTCATAGAATGTGACAGGAATTGTGCTTTTCTTACAAACAGATTTATTAGAATGTTCCAGTGCAACAATTCCCATATTTTTAAAAATTCAAGTTTTGACCAGGCCTTGTTTTGTTTTGATGTCTGTTTGTTGCAATCAGAGCCTGAACCTCCAGGCTAAGAACCACTTTCTTTTTTTTTTCTCAAGTTGTTTGCTACTTAATAGTGTTTTATTGGGTGCAGAATTCTCACTGTTCTTTTGGCTTGGGAACAAAGTTTCGCCTTTCTTCTCTGCTGCTCAGATTACATTTGTAGGCCTGTATGATTTAAAAATAATCTGGCTTTTGTTTTCTCCATATTCTTCATCTTAACTTCAAGTACTAACCTGCTCTTGTTCAGAATTTCCTATTCTGCCAATAGTATCATTCCCATAGTCTTTAAACTTAAAATCCTATGATCACATCAAGCATCAAATCTCAGTATCTGGTTGTTTTATACCTACAACTAACTTATTCACTTTCATATTCTCTTCTAAAACAGTCTCTTCCTCATGCTGTTTAGGAAGTTGAAATCTGAGAATTACAGTTTGAA